AGACCAACATTCCCACTCCCCTTGATTTGAGAAGATGAAATGTAAGGATAAGAGACCAACATTCCAATTATTTTTCAATCTGTAAGCTGGTCATTGCCATTTGTCTGGTTGAGAGTGTAACCAGATTGACCTATGGTCACCTATTGTCCAGTTTTAAGTGTTCAGCTTTCATCCAGTATGATATTAGAATTAGAATTCCTCTTGTATAGAAATGATATCCTCCCAATATAAAATGATTACACTAAGAAACATTGCAGAGAAGTTTGCCAAGATATTTGTTAACAGTTATTAATAGATATATGTCTTCAGTCATTAGTTATTTTTCGTTCAGCAACCTGTGGGTAATAATGCCATAGGAATAGATTGATATACTGTAGGATTTAACCATGAAAATCCCTTCTAATATTTTTCGTAAACTTAAGGTAAGAACATTTATTGTTGAAGCATTTATATGTTGGTGCAGGGTTCTCACTAAGGATTTTTGAAGGCGAGTGCAGGGACTCCTCATTTTTTGGGATTGGTGAGTCCAACAGTAAGAAGCAGAAACATTGATTTATTATTTTAGTATCCATGACCTATTATAGAGCAATGAAATGACATTAAATTCAGGTTACTTTTAAACTTTTGCTATGAAATGGTGATATGTGTGTTCAGTTTATACAAAATTTTTCAATCTTGATGCATCTTTGGATTCACCAGTTTTGAAAATGGTGAGTCCAGACAGATTTTCATGAGTTCAGGACTCATGGATTCGCCTAAGTGAGAACCCTGTTGATGGCAATTTATTTTTGTAGAACACAAACTTTTAATTCCTTTTCCCCTCTTGTTAAGGTATGATATGAATAATGTATTATGTTTTTTGTTTTTTTTTAATTCAAGTTTCTTTCTGCTTTAGTCTGTTAGTTGATAGGTGAAAACCTAATGTGGTGAGTTATCTGACCTTTGTTAACTATCGAACATTTCCAATACTAAACAAAATTTATTGGAGTGGTAAAAAATATTGTTAATATTAAACTATCAACAACCAATCATTCTAAAATAAATTAAAACGTTGATTATGACATAACTTTTAGGCTAAAACGTTGATTATGACATAACTCTTCGGCTAAAACGTTCAGATTTGACATTTTAATGTGGTATATAAACTGTGAAAATTTGATGTTTTTTTCGCCCCCAATATTACATGTATACCTGTGAGGTATGTAATAACGACTTAGTAATGGGCTGGTTATACTTGTTATACCACCTGGACCTGTTTTATAACTACATCGTAACATGTATTACATAGCCATCAGGCACCCGACGTTCACTTGTAAAATAGGCACAACATTAGAACTGCTTCCATCAAATAAAAGTTGCGTATCCACTGGTCCACAAATTTTTGTAAAGTTACGAATTCACTTATCTCCAGAGTTCATGTTAGTCTGGAGCTGAGGTCCAGTGCCTGTTTATTTCTTGGAGGGAACATTTGATTTTTGAACAACACAAGCCCAGAAACATAGGTAGAGCAATAAATGTGTGTGGAATCAAAAAATGTACAGATAACTTATAGTTTTTCTTTGTCTCTGGATTGTAACAGCATTGGTCTTTCCATGTTATATTAATATACAATGATGACATTACGTCTGACTTTGTTAGAAGTAACGCCCATAACATTATCATCAAGTATTAATTAGTATCCATAAAGAAACAGGAAATTGAATTAATCGCCATGATTTTTTACTAGATAAATATTTAACATTCTTATAGGACCTTATCTATCTGCATAACAGCACTCCAGAAATGTTAGAATATTTAATGTATGTAAGATTATGAGCCAAAAAAAGTTCATTTCCCTATGTGGTGTATGTAAAATAAAAAAAACAAAATCATTTTAGCTATGTATAGCCTTTCTGCCAGGAGACAAAAACAAGTACCGTATATATTTTTTGGCCTTAGTAAAGAAATATATTTTAGAGGTTCGCATTATATTCATAAATAAGACCGTTAATTTTTATATTTATATTCGATGAATTGAATAACCGTCAATCTGGTTAATGGGTGGGATAGTTATAAGTTTTGACAAACAAAAAAATATTTTTGAGAATTCAACATAAGGTTTTAAATTTGACTAGTAGTCTAATAAACGGCTTTAATGTGTGGCAGATACATCATCAAACAAAATGGATTATCCATTTATCAGAGGATTGGAATAAAATTGAAGTAAACTGAGAATGTGTTAATTTTACTAATAAAGTGAAAACATGTACTATTTACAAAAGTTATATAATTATATCTAAATAATAAACTTCAAACGTTACAAGTAAAGATTTGAAATGTAAATATTTACATAACAAATAAACAAACACATTACAATAATAAACAAACACATTTGTGGGATAAAGGGAGTTAAATCTGAATTATAAACAGATTAAAGGGCAGATAATCTGATAATTATAATAGTAATTTAGTGTAAATTTATTACTATTGTTATTTAGATAATTATGGATTAAAAAGAAAATATGGACTTTCTATAAAATGTACTGGTTAAATAACAACTAGCAGTGAAAATTGTCAGCTTAAGATGAAAAAATAACTTCCATTATTGTGAAGCTGATTTTAATGCTTGAGTTGTCAGGGGAAAAGACTTTATTTTTTGTTGTGGTCTAGTATATTATAAGAGAAAGTATAATGTAAAAAAACAACGATGGAAAGAAAATAAAAGCTAATTTCATATTTGAAAAATAATATTCTTGAAAATTAAAAAGAAAAGTGATAGACTGATAAATTGCAAATTTAATAATTACTCAGATTAGATTGAAGACTGATTAATTACTCAGAATAGATTGAAGACTGATTAATTACAGGTAAATAAAGATGAAAAGGATTGCTTCAGGTGTCCAGACTTGTGTAATTACCTGTAATTAATTACTTCAAAGGTAGAAGATATCAGTTGTATTTACTAATTATCTGTACAATATTGAGTTGTCTGCCGGTACATGCAACAATTTAGTCTAGAATTTTTACCTTCACAACAAATAAACTTTGAATTTCAATTTTATTTTAGATGTTGTTTGTTAATTTATTCATATTATACTCTAAATTCAGAAATTAATTCCTGCATCTATTACTGTGAATTGGCAAAAATGCTGATTGCAAAAAAATTTTAAGATTGAAAATTCCTGCTGAATTTATGAATGCAAGTTTTTATTATTGTGTAAGGACCTGATACTGTCACATTTCTAGCATTGATAAAAAAATTTGCAATAATTTCTGAATTTACAGTATTGTCTTCTCAGAACATCTCCATATTTTAAGTAGATCATGATAACATTACATTCTTATTGATAATATAACAACACATCATAGGACATGCATTGTACTTAAGTAGTATTCCCCCAAATAAAACACTCTGTTGATGATAACATTCTGAAATATGTCAAATGAATACATGTATCAGTACAGCTCTGATATTATCCAATGTTTAGCTGTACATGTCAGATAATCCTGTATGTATACAAAAAATGGTATCAGTAGAGCTCTGATAGTCCTCTATTTAGCTGTCAGATTATTTTAAAGAAGGGGACATCTTTATGGAAGTGAAATGTATACATGTTTTAGTAGAGCTCTGATATTGTCCTCAGTTTAGCTGTCAGATTATCCAGGGGACATGTTTATCACTTATAACAAATAGTTTGTCTGATTATATTTTATTTGGAGGTCTTTTAATAGGATTTGTGTATGAATCCCCATCTTTTACATAGACTAAATGAACTGATGGATTAAGATTTACATAAAACATATTAAATATACCTGGAGACTTTAAGGTAATGTAAGATCTGGGAAAATAATAAATTGAACTATTTTGATAAATATGTTAATGTGCAAATGTCAGTTATTAATGGAGACATAATAATGGCAGTTAAAAAATGGACAAATGTAGATTTGTATTTATTTATGGATATCGTTTGGCATTGATACATATATGTATACCTATATGTCAATAGTTTGACGATTTTTACATGAGTTTTTATATTGTTATCCTTGATAAGTTTTAACATTCACCTGTACAGGTATTTATATAAGGTTTAAAAAATTAAATCTTTTTTATAAAAAGTTAGATTATCTTCTCCGTCAATCTGAGAGTTATGAAAATATTTATAATGGATGTCAATTAACTTCTTCGTATATTTATAAATGTACTGAGATGACCTTTTGTTAGTTTAAATCTATTAGTGAAGGGATAATTGTTAAAAGTTTTGGGAGATTGTTTTGTATGTATTTGGGTAACCTCTGTTAATGATATCATTATTGACTTCTGACAGATTAAAGAAGGTGGTTTGGATACATTTTATTTTGCTCTGGTCTTTGTGTAGTGTCTCGTACGGATTGAAAAATGTTTTGACTTATTATCTTAAATAATATGGATGTGAATTCTTACAAGGTAAAATTGATGTCTCTTCAGGGTATAAAAGATAATCCTTACTATATACATTTTGTGATCATATGTTGATAAATTTTCTATCACATCGTAGTTTGACATTTTCTTATACACAATTAAATTAATAATGTAAATTTTGATGACTTATGGAAGCTTAAACTAAGTACAAGAAATAAATGCCAAACATTACTCCTCAGGAATTGGAACTAATATATATAAAGATTGTTCTATTGACTTATGAAGAATTTACTATTATACACTTTGAAAACAAAAAACAAAATTGGAGGGGGAGGGGGGTTAGGGAGTATATAGGAAACACTCTATCTTTTTGTCTGTCCATGTATCTTGTAAGTACACATTCTAAGAGGCTGGATGGATATTGATAAAACTGCATGTACACAATTGTACAACACTACACTACATGAGAATGTGAATAATGGAATGTAATCCCTGTCCAACATGTTAAAGGGGAAATAATCAAATTTACAGGTGTTCTTTTGTGAGTTCACTTAACAGTTATGTTTAAAATAGTTTTTATTCAGTTTATCTTGTACTAATATATATATATATTTTTTTTCAGAGTGGAGATACAGTTGTATGGGAAACTCACAAAGTTTCATTAACTAGGGTAGGTAACTCTCACAAAGTTTCATTAACTAGGGTAGGTAACTCTCACAAAATTTCATTAACTAGGGTAGGTAACTCTGACAAAAATTCATTAACTAGGGTAGGTAACTCTCACAATATTTCATTAACTAGGGTAAGTAACACAATATTTCATTAACTAGGGTAGGTAATGCTCACAAGGGTAGGTAACTCTCACAAAGTTTCATTGACTTGTGTAATATTTTTTTTAACTCACACAGTTTCATTAACAAGATAAGGTAATTCACACACATTTTCATTAAAATTGGGTAGTTAACTTGTAATCTTTCATTAACTGGGGTAGGTAACTCTAAGAAAGTTTCTTTAACTAAGGTAGACAACTCCCAAAGTTTCATTAATCTGGGGTAGGTGATAAATATGTAGATAGCAATCATATTATAGAAATAAGAAGATGTGGTATGATTGCCAATCAGTCATCTCTCCACCAGAAACCAAATGGTCAAGCTTGATTGATTGTTTAGATATGTTTAGTGTTCATTGTAATGGAACAAGAGAAACCAAGAATTTGTTTTCACCAAAAATATGATCTTGGGGGTATGTCTGTTAAATACATACTCATATCATCAGGTACAAGGCTTTGTGTTATCAGCTAAATTTGTAATACACATCAACAATATATTGAAAGGTACCAGTCTCTGAGAGTTGCATTTTTTCCTCTGCTCTACATTGACAGGTATCAGTCTTGAGATTTGCCTTATTATCCTTTGCTCAATATTGACAGATATCAGTCTTGAGGTTTGCATTTCAATCCTTTGCTCTATATTGACAGGTATCAGTCTTGTTGTTTGCATTTCAATCCTTTGCTCTATATTGACAGGTATCAGTCTTGAGGTTTGCATTTCAATCCTTTGCTCTATATTTACAGGTACCAGGTTTTGGTTTCGGTATAGCAGTTAGTGGAGGGGTAGATAATCCACATTTTGCAAATGGTGATCCATCCATTGCTATCTCAGATGTTTTAAAAGCGGGACCAGCAGAAGGCAAACTATTGTAAGTAGTACTGGTGGATTGGTTATTACTTTTTATTGCCAGAATTCAAAATCTGTCTTAAAATATCATGCAAAATTTGGGGGATATGTGTTGAGATCCCCTTTGAAAACCACTTGGCACTATTAATGTCAAATTTAATATTTTACATTGCCCATCAAAGTTTGAATTTGATGTTAAATCAATCCAAACCCTTTGCTTTATAGAATTTGATCCCTTTGAAAAAAATTCTGGTTGTGACATGAAAAGGTTTAAGAAAATTAAAAAAAAAAGATAATTAAGATGTAAAAATGTAAAAGATCATATGGATAGACTTAATTACTTTAAATACAAAATCTGAAATCTGTATAATGTGCATTCTGGATTTTTAGATGGGAGTAACTGTATAAATACAATGACTATGTAACTGTGTATAAATACAACGACCATGTAACTGTGTATAAATACAACGACCATGTAACTGTGTATAAATACAACGACCATGTAACTGTGTATAAATACAATGACGATGTTTTACATTTCAGAATTAACGACAGAGTTGTGAGTGTCAATAGTTGTTCCCTGGAGAATGTTGATCACAGAACTGCTATACAAGTGTTAAAAGACAGCGGCAATAAAGTGCACTTAGTAAGTAATGGTAGATCATAACAAAACAAACAAAATAAGATATAATCGATCTTCAAAAAAGGCAGGATGCTATGAAAAAGACAAAATGCGCCCTGGAAACTGTGAAAATGGCACAGGACACCACTCTAAAAAAGGGTAGGCGCTGCACCCTCTGAAAACGACCTAGCTGGAACACTGTAGTTACTTACTTCCATGTCTTAAGGTTTCTGAAGGATAGTTGTCTCCTTGGCAATCATACTACATGTCCTTATTTTCATGTTATGTGGAAATGATGAAATCCTCTACAGGTTGTGTAAACAAGTGGTGTGGATTTATTTATTTTTGTGGGTACTAATTTCCATGGATTTAGGAAAACTTGCAATTTCGTGGATATTTGGTTTCATGCTTTTGCTAAAGCCTTCATTCAAGCCTTTTACATTTGTAATTTGTTGAACATTTCAATTAGTGGTTCACCTGTACCCACAAAATGGACAGTAGTCAATTGATTGATAAGTGTAAGAAAGGACTCTTAATCTGCTTTGAAAAGTCCTTAATGTTTGTATTAATTTAATGTTTTACTTAAGGTCAAAGGACATATAATGGACATAAGCTTCTACACAAAATAGTTTTAATTTTTAAGAAAGGAGGATGTTTCTTTAAACTACCATCATGACACCAGCAAAGATGCCAAATGTTTAAAAACTTTTTTTGTAAAACTTCATGAAAGAATAATTGTTACGATAATTGTTTTGGGTAGTTTGGTTTTGTTGTATATATTTAGCTTTCTGTGTAAGGTTTTGTTATTTTTGTTTTATCTTTTTTCTCCTATTGATGTTTGACCATAGTATTTTTAGTTTTGATTAGATTTATGATTAACCCCTTGTAATGTTCTCTCTCTTGTTTTACAGGTCATACGTAGACGAGTTGTTGTACCGTCTATGATGGACCCAGAAACACCACTCAAAATTATGCTGGAGAAGAGGAACAGAAAAGATGGTGAACATTTTTATTATTTGTTGAATGAAATACTCCTGATTTTATGTCAATACTATGGTTACGCGAAATATAAACTTGACAGTAGAAAAGGTTAACCACTTCACCCAGCTTTATTTTATTACCTCTGTATATGAAGAGTTCATGCTGAAGGTCTGTATTGGGTTTACAGAATAGAAATGAATGAGTCAAAAATTAAAAATAGAGAATAATGGGGTGCTAAAATATGAACAACAATGGGAAATAAAATAGAGAATATGGAAAAATGGTTCGCTTAAATATAAAGAAGAATAATTGAAAAGGACAACAGAGAAAAATGGCTTAAGAATTTTAAGAATATAAAAATGAAAACCCCAACATACTCTCATTAATTAGACTGATTACTTTATGAGCTGCTGTTTTTTTTTTTTTATTTGTCTTCACTATTTTAAGATGGTTGTTTTTGTTTCAGATTTTGGAGTTGTACTTGGATGTAAATTCTTTATAAAAGAGATTTACTCTGGTTCCCTAGCCAGAGAGGAAGGGACATTACAGGAAGGGGATACAGTTTTAAAGGTTTGTTAGAGTTAATCATGTTTATCACTTGTTTTTACTAAAAACAATAAACTTATTTGATTAAAAATTACAAATTTGTTGATAAACAGTGACCCCCATGCTCTCAGAGTAGTTCAGGGTATAACTACAAACCCTCAATCCATATCAGCTTTCATACTTGACTAAAATTGGACTCGGATGTTGATACACCATGTCATATGGATTAAGCCATTTGTTATTCTCTATATAAAGGATGCTTTCGAAAATGAAAATCATAAATCCGAAAAGAAAAACAGAACACCATGACCAAAAATAAAAATGAAGGAAAGATAAACAAACAATAACAAAAAAACATTACATAGAAAACGAATTATTAGCAACATAATCCCCACCAAAACTTTACTTCTCAACACCTGTTGTGTTGCTCAAGTTAGTAAGATCTTACCTTGTATATATTTAGCATGTAAAAGTAACTCTTCAGTGTACATTTTTTACAGATTAACAATACCCCTGTAGATAATCTGTCTGTCCACGAGGCCAGGAAACTTATAGAGAAGACAAAAGAAAAGTTACAACTATTTGTTACCAAGAAAAACTTGGAGAATAGAAGGGCAACAAATAGACTACAGGATGACGGTAAGATTTATATAGAAAATAAGGGGGGTATGGAGGATAAAGGGGACTTATAAAGTACAAACAACCAATAAACAAGCTGCGAGATATAGAAGGAATCAGAGCAGAAGTGGGCTTGTTAAAAATAAACAGTACTAGTGGAAAACAGACAAGCAATGAATACACAGATTTTACTGGAAAAAGAGGGGGGATATGGATAGAAAAGGAGATTATGAAACAGATTACTTACAAATAAGGTACAAGATGATGGTAAAATTCTACAACAAAAATGATGCAAAAATGGATTTGGCAGAAACAGATAGCCTTCAAACAGGTTAATATTTGGACTCATTTTCTACTACAAAACCACTGGTCCTTATACAACTAACAACATTAAAACCCCCATCTTAAAATTTTCCCAAGTCTAAATTATTTATTGAAGACTTTGTTGGGAAGATACAACCACCTTCCAGCTATTTATTTAGCATGTTTCGAATCTCAAACTTGTTTTTATTTTTTAAGAAATGTTGTTAGAACATATATAAACTGGTTCTGCAAATTTTCGTGAAATTTCTTTATAAGCAGCTATATAATTATTATATTTTGATGATGACAGAGGCCTCACTATGATAATTATATTTTGATGATGACAGAGGCCTCCCTATGATAATTATATTTTGATTATGACAGAGGCCTCACTATGATAATTATATTTTTATTATGACTGAGGCCTCCCTATGATAATTATATTTTGATTATGACAGAGGCCTCACTATGATAATTATATTTTGATTATGACAGAGGCCTGCCTATGATAATTATATTTTTATTATGACAGAGGCCTCCCTTGGCTATGGAACATTACAAGGTACTCTCCAAACACAGAAAAGTGAAGTAGATAGTGTCAACATATACCGTCCTAATGGGCCAATAGATGAAGTGTATAAACAAGACATTCCACGTGGAGCTTACCCTCCCAGTGAGCATGCCCGGTATGATGGGAGGTATATCTACGACCATGAGGGACCTCCAGTGCCTCCCCTCCCCACAGGAGTCGACCCTAGTAAGTCATTAAACTTCTTTTGTTCGAAAGAAATCAAAGCAAATCAATTATTCAATTAAAGATTATTGTTGACTCATGTAAATATCTCATTTCTATTTTTTAAATCAATCAGAGCTGGTAGGATCATTTCAAAACAGGAAGATACTTCAAAAAATGTTATTTATACCTTGAAATGATGACAGAAAACATAGAAAAGTTTTCCATCAACAAATATAACGTCAGATTTTTTAAAAACATTGAAAACAAATAGCATTAGTTTCAACCCAGTGTGTCTTCAGCTGTACCAATTTGAAAGTAATGCAAGTTCTAAGGAAAGTTTTTTTCCGAACATAAATGCTTATTAATCTAATGTTGTATCCTAAACTATGTAGCTTTTGTTTATAGATGCTCCCCCTCGACCGCCAAGCCCAGGAAAGGAAGCTTTACGGTCCGATGATTTTTACAATTCTCCTCAACAAAACGATGGTTACTATAGCGACAGACCAGAATCTCATATGGACAAAGCTCCAACAAGGAGACATCACCATGATGAGTGAGTTCAAGATTTTAAAAAATTGACAAAAAAAAGAAAACCAGGTTATAGTAATTTTATGAGTTGCAACTTTCTTTGAGAACTTATTGAAATCAGATTTTCGTATAAAAGACAAAAATTGTTACATCTTCATTCTTTGGTCTGTAAATAGTTGTCTCATTGGCAATCATACCATTTATCCACATTTTAATATCAGATAAAAGTGGATAAAATGAAATATTCAACAGGAAAATTGTTGTTCATAATAAGAAAGGTTTAAATAAAAAATGTAAAATAAACCTTAACAAATAAGTAAACACAAGAGAGTTGATGCTCACTATGGATATCACACATGGTACTAGCACTAAATATAGAAATACATTTTATAGCTTATGATCATACATTTCACTCTGGTACTTGATAAGTCATGCTTCGTTTAAATGCTGCAATTAATTTTTTATGGCTTACTTTGATTTTTGACATATACATGATGTGAACATTTTATTAAAAACATCTAATAAGATTCAGATCTGTATAACTTCTAAGTATCAAATGTAATTTGACCACATTTATTGCAGTATTTATATTATAAACACACATTAGAAAACATCATGGAGGGTAACATTTTTGTATTATCACATTAAACATGTTAGCAAACATCATGAAGGGTCACATTTTTGTATTATCACATTAAACACACATTAGCAAACATCATGGATGGGAACATTTTTGTATTTGCTTTTCAACTTTGCTTTCATCATGCCTATTTAAGAAATAACTGCGCAGTGTGGGGAAAATGCAGGGGTGTCAATTCTGAACTGACGGTTACAAATGAAATTTTACTCGTGCAGAAAACACTCTTGACTACAGTACTTTTACTTCCATTCTTATGCAATACTAATAAAATAAAAAATATTTGAAATATCCTTTAAACGTTGAATGCAATTGTGCTGTGCTGTTGGCAGTGAATCTGATTGTAAACCTTGGAATTGACACGAGATGTCATTCAATCAAAATAGTTGTTAGAATTCATATTTATCACTGTTCTTGTTCAAACAGCATACTGAAAATCTAGTAACATTGTTTATGTATACACACCTTGCACACAGTAAAGAGAATATAATCTGGAATCCATTCCTGTTTTCATATTTAATGTTCTTATTCTGGTATCGGCAACGTGAAGAATTTTAAAAGTTTTTAGAATTATATTAATTGATTCTAACAAAGCTAAAAAAAGATATCAAAGACATGTTGAAATTATATTGTAAAGAAAAAATCTAAAGTGTGTTTATTTCATTTACTGTAAATTTATCAATGCATTTGTTAAACAAAGGACAAACATTTTTTCGATAATTCGTCTTTTCTAAATCTGAAGGACTATGGGTAATCTCGTTCGTACACCAAAATGAAAATAACATTACATCATTGGTTGAATTATTAATGTTTATTACGTTTGAACCAATCTAACATTTTGGTGTACACGTTTGAAAATATTACCCAGAGTGCTTTAGATTCTGAAATGACGAATTATGAATTAAGGAAATGTTGTATACAACTGATTCTTTCAAATTTGGAAACACCTTTCCCGTCACAATTTAGCAAAATAATAAAATTATTGCAAAAATTTCTGAATTTACCGTATACTTGAATGCGTCAAAATTTTCAAAGGAAAACAGTTTAAGTGAAAATAATTGAGCACAATTGACATATGAAATTATGAATGGATTTTACATGCTGTGGATTCAGTATTATTCGTGTGATACCAATAGTCGTCGAAATTTCATGGTATTTTTGATCCACAAATTTAAATGTTCAACATAAAAAAAATTGTCTTAAGGCTTGTATTCAGACTTTGACAAATCCATGAAATCATGAAAAAACAAGCTTTCCGGAATTCACCCAAAATTTGTACCCATGAAAATATGTGAATCCACCTTAGTACTGGTATAGCTTTCTTTATATATGCTAGATATCATGTTACTTTATTGTAGGAGATATGTTGGAAAGAGAAATGATATCATGTAAGTATTGTGACCTTTGTTAACCAAGCATTTTAAACGTCAGTCAGATGTTGGCAGATATATTCTGTTAACCAATCATTTTAAAAGTCTGTCAGATGTTGGCAGATTTATTCTGTTAACCAATCATTTTAAACGTCAGTCAGATGTTGGCAGATTTATTCAATTAACCAATCATTTTAAACTTCAGTCAGATGTTGGCAGAATTATTCAATTAACCAATCATTTTAAACGTCAGTCAGATGTTGGCAGATTTATCCTATTAACCAATCATTTTAAACGTCAGTCAGATGTTGGCTGATTTATTCTATTAACCAATTCTTGCTGAATTCAGTCAGTTGTTAACAAAACTGTTCTGTTAACCAATCATTCATTCGACACGCTAATGTCACACCTGTATTCAAAAAAGGGGATAAACATAACCCAGGTAACTACAGACCCATATCCTTAACATGCATAGCTTGCAAATTACTTGAACACATCTTTGCAAGCAGCATGATGCAACATCTCGAAACCAATAACACACTCTATGAATTACAACATGGATTTAGGGCAAAACGATCATGTGAGTCTCAAGTTATCTCACTCATTCATGAATTATCACAAAATAATGACAAGAACATACAAACAGATCTCATAATCATGGATTTTGCCAAAGCTTTTGACAAGGTACCACACAAAAGATTACTATATAAAATGAAATACTTTGGCATATCAGATCAAATCATAAACTGGGTCGAATCCTTTCTTTCAAACAGAACCCAAACAGTACTTTTAGAAAACACGTCATCTTCAAAAATACCAGTCACATCGGGTGTGCCACAGGGTACAGTGCTAGGACCTATACTTTTCCTTATTTACATAAATGACCTTCCAGAATACATCAAACATAGCAAAATCAGACTCTTCGCAGATGACAGTATAATTTACAGACAAATTAAATCTCAAAACGACTGCCTCAAGCTTCAAGAAGATCTAGAAGCCGCCATACAATGGGAGCAAGACTGGCTCATGTCTTTCCACCCAGACAAATGCAACATCATGAACATAACAACCAAAAGAACTCCCATCCACTTCTACTACAACATGTATGGGCACATCCTAGAATCAGTAAAACATGCTAAATATTTAGGTATCACAATCTCTTCAGATCTAAAATGGAACACCCACATCCAACAAACAGCTGCTAAAGCAAATAAATCTTTATGCTTCATCAGAAGAAATCTCAAAGTCCAGTCACAAAAAATAAAAGAAAGAGCATACCAACCATCATAAGACCCAAATTAGAATACTGCTGTACTGTATGGGACCCCTATACAAGCGAAAACATTAGATCATTAGAAAAAGTACAGAGATGAGCGGCAAGGTATGCATGTAACAGACATCACAACACCAGCAGTGTGTCTGAGATGCTAGATACCATGAAATGGCAAACATTACAAGAACGCCGACTAAGAACAAGGCTAATAATGTTCCACAAAATTATAAACGAAAATATTGCCATACCATCGCAAAATTTACTACAAAAGAGTCAGTCCACCACAAGATCCACCAATAAAGATGCTTACCGACAAATCCAATGTAACAAAGACAGCTACAAATTTTCCTTCTTTTGTCAAACAATTAAAGACTGGAACAAATTATCCTCAGTCATAACAAAAAACACCACCACAGAAACTTTCAAGGATGCACTCACTCACGATGTGCTCCTTGATACCTATCCACACCTGAAGTAATCAGGCAATCATGTTTTTATCTTAAATTAAAAATAAAAATAAAAAATGAAATATTAGAAAAACTACATAAAAACGAAAAATCTAAAAACAAAGAAAAATTGTAAAAATCAATAATAATATAACAAATATACAAAAATATGGAATACAAAAAATTTGACAATCTATGTCTAACTACATTTATAAATACATAAATTTGAAAAATTTTTACCAGGTATGCGCCGGAAAGTAAACATCAGTATGTTGATGGTTTTCTGAAACTGAAGAAGAAGAAGAAATGTCTGTCAGATGTTGATAATTTCATTCTGCTAGACTTCTGAAGATATATTCTGTTATCCAATCATTTTAAAGTTCTGTCAGTATTTGATAAATGTCTTTGGCCAATATATTTTATAATTTGTTGATATTACCCCAAGGCACAGATTTAGGATGTTTAACATTTAGCAAAGAATTTCTCTCAAACTGAATCTAAGTGCCATCTTGAAATTTGTAATAAAATAATATTGATGATATATATCCAAAAAAGGCAGGTAACTCTATTTTAATTTTAGCAGAGTTTTATTTTTATGCCCCCGCTGATTGGAGGGGGCATTAAATTTTACCCTTGTCCGTCTGTCCGTACGTCCCAAAATTGGTTTCCATTCTCTAACTTAAGTTTGCCTCAACCAAATGTTATGAAACTTATACACAATGCTTATTATCACAAAACACAGATCAAGTTTGAATTTTTGTGGCGTCACTTAAACCGTTCTAGAGTTATGCCCCTTTATTAATGGAAAAATTGCTAAATTTATTCATTTTTTTTCTAATAATATCAATGATGTCATTGTTCAAGTAATTTTGAAAATTGGTGTTATCTTCCTTTGTCCATGATTATAGTTGAATCAACTACAATCAATGCTATATACAATGCAATGTTTAATTTTGCCTTCCACTGATAAAACACAGATCAAGTTGAATTTGGGTAGTGTCACTTTAACCATTATTGAGTTATGCCCCTTTATAAATCGAAAAATTGCAAAATATTCAGTTTCGGTTCTGTAACTTAAGTTTGCCCCAACCAGACATGAAACCTATACACAATATTTATTACCACAAAACTAAGATCAAGTACAAATTTGGGTTGCGTCACTTTTATTGTTCTTGAGTTATGTCCCTTTATAATGTTGTATGTAAGTGGGGGCATCATCTGTGTCCATAGGGACACATTCTCCATTTATTTATCCTAGCAGAGTAATTAACAATGCAGAAATAATAAAGTGAAGATTTTTTCCATTTCAGCTCAGATCCCAGGTTTGTTTTCTTCCATAAACAGCCAGACCTAGGATTAGGATTGAGGCTCGCTGGAGGGAATGCCACAGGGATATTTATAGCATCTGTCCAACCTGGCAGTGGTGCTGCTGATGTGGGGCTCACTGAAGGAGATGAAATTTTAATGGTAAGTATTGGACTCACTGGAATCTCTATAGTTGCCTTATGAATTTGCATACAGGGTCCTTTGATTGATTTGTTTTCTCAATGTCCAGTGACAAACATTTCATGCATATTCAGGATGTATAGCTGTTTGAGACAGGTTAAAAAAGTGTCTTTACATTCTGTGTGTTAAATGTTAATTGTGGATGGATTTTATAAACTAATGATGTTTATTGAATTTAATCACTTAAAAAGACTTTCTAAAACTAACAAAATACAATTCAGAAAGATTTGTGAATGCTCCTAGTTTTGTGAAGAATTTGATTTAAGAATACACGCTGCTTGTGCTTTCATTAAATGTTGTAGGATTTTTTATACACTGTAGAGATAGAATTTTAAACATTTGAGGATAAAATCTTTACCTTTTAGTGCTCATGACAATTTAGTACACTTAAGCAATTATTTTACAGGCAAACAACAGAGAAATTCATGGTTTATCTAGAGAGGAAGCAGTGACCTACTTAACAAGCCTGGAAGGTCAAGTACAGATGCAAGTTCACTATAAAAAAGAAGGTACTTTCCTTACATCAATCTGCATAAATGCCCAAATATTGAAGTTAGCTTTTTTCTTACTTTGCATTTTGAAAAACTAGCACTTTGTTTTATCTACATGAATTTCAATACTTAGGGGACTTTGGTGACTGACTGGAGTAAGTGATTCATCACTTGTCTGTCAACACTAAGATTGTGAGTTCCAACTCTGCTCCTGGCAAAGTGTGTTCAACTCTGATCTCAAATGACTAGAATTTCAAGATTTCATACTGAATGTTATCCTTCTTCCTCCATCAATAAGAATTGGATGCCATGAAATAGCTAAGAATGCCAAAAGTGGTGCTAAACAACAATCAATCAATCAATAAATGAAAACTTTGACTTTAAAATTGTTTTCAAAGTGGATATAACAACATCAAACAAAATCAAACATGTTGTTATGGGCCATCTTGAAATAGCAGTTAAAAAATGGAAACATCGTGTTATAAATTTAATTCGTCCTAAGTGCTTTTCTGGATATACCTTCATCAGAAACGCTCAAAGCCGAATATTTGAAAGCCAAGGATGTATAAAACTGAAACAGTTGAAGAGCTATATAATAAAAAATTCGTATGGGTTCTGGGGAACCCAGTGTCTCGCCTTCTTTTGCTGTAAGGCGCAGGCTCACAAAAATTGGGAAAAAAATTATTAAAAAATTTTCCTCTAGATACTATCTTTTGATTGTAAGAAGTTCTGTTCAAGTTTGGTAAAAATCCAAGAAGGTTTATGAATCTAATAAATGTTTTAAAAACTTTAACTGCAGACTGTACGTCATGTGAACTGGAATAAAACTAAGTCCATTTATAAGTAATATACGGAAAAACAGGAAATAAATTTTTACGGATAAACAAGACTTTTTTTTACAAAATTTTCTTCAGGATACTATCTTATGATCATAAATAAGCTTCTGTCCAAGTTTGGTACAAATCTAGGATAGTTTAAGAAAGTTATTAAAATTTGAAAAACTTTAACCACAGAGTGAATGTAATGTTAACTGGCAGAAAAACTAAGTCCATTTATGAGTAAAATACGGCTAAACAGGATTTTTTTTTTTACAAAATTTACTTCTGTGTAATATCTTATGATCATAAACAAGCTTCTGTCCAAGTTTGGTTGAAATGCAGGATAGTTTAAGAAAGTTATTAAAATTTGAAAAACTTTAACCACAGAGTGAATATTTGTGGACGCCGCCGCCGACTCTGACGGAATGTAGGATTGCTATGTCTAGCTTTTGCGACAAAAGTAGCAGGCTCGACAAAAATGACCTAATATAATAGCTAAATCCTTCTAAGGCCAACTTTGCCTGAGGGAGTTGAAACCTTAGTTTCTTTATAATTTCAAAATTTAGGAATGGGCAAATTTAGAAAGGTTTGTTATAAATCATGTCAGTACCGAAATACTGACTACTGAGCTGATGATACCCTCTGGGTAAATGAGGAACAATGATAAAAGAACTGTTTCTTTGCTTTTGGCTTTATTATGTGTGCAAGGATTTTGTGGTATATCCTTCCTTTTTACTTTCAGAGTTACAAACTAGGAAAGAAATGTACTTTGTGTTAGACGAACACGCAAACTCCTAAATACTGGTTTGTCAAAGATTTCATTTGATTTACCATAAGTACAATATTTGACTAAGAAATTTTATTTATCTGATAGTTACTAATTATGAGTTACATATAATTATTTATTTTTCAGAATATGACAGAATAATGGCCAGTAAAGAGGCAGGGGATTCATTCTATGTCAGGTAATAGCTTATAAAAAAGTCCACAGAAAGTTAATTTGTAATGTCCCGTTCACATCTAATTGAAAAAATATGGGAGGTGGGACAAATTTTAATTTTTGAGTTTTTGTTGATTTTCACTGACACTGTTAGGAATTTTGTTGAAACAGAGCTAAACGAAATTAGACAAAGGGGTGAGAGATTTAACAAACTAACTGGATGTGGCCTAATTATTAAAGTATTTATAGTATCAATATTAAAGAGGCATTAGCTTTCAAAATCATGTTCACTAATTTGACTCAAATTTTTACATTTGATATATAGAATAGAGAATGGAAACGGGCATTGTGTCAAAGAGACAACAATCTGACCAAAGAGCAAAAAAAACCCAACGCCACACTATAACATACTAAAGGGTAGATCCAAATTACAAAAGTTGAAAAAAACAAATAACAATGCATGGACTTATTAGAATAGATCAGCATAATGTGTATATTTCAGACACTTTATACGTGTAAATAGTTTTACTAACGACTACATGTTACTTCATATACTAAACAAACAAACAAAAATATAGTTCAGACATATTGCAGGTTCGGCTGCAATTCATCAATGATGATGATATATATATATATATATATATATTTGAAATCTGTGTAGAAAAAGGATCTAATGTTTTTCCATTTTTTCAGAGCTCATTTTTCGTTAGAAACTACTGAACAAGGTGAATTATCTATTAACCATGGTGACATTTTCCTCGTCAAGGATACACTGTTTAGAGGAAGTGTAGGGTCTTGGTTAGCCGTATCACTTGGCAAAAATAACAAAGAGAACAAAAAGGGAATCATTCCTAATAGAACAAGGTAACTATATTAGCATTGAAGATCAATGTCATATAATTTTGTTGTGTACAAGTAAGGGTTATGCTATTAGAATGAATGGCATAGTAAGAAAGGACTTTCAGCCCAACAGAACTATAGAAATGAGTAAAACTCATCAAAGAGACTATTGAGATTGAGTCCCTAAAAATATTAGGCTTCTATGTAAAAAGTTTAGTTTGTATAAATACAGATTTAATGACATAAGTCTTTGTAACTTGACACATTGATATAAAAACTATTTGATATATTTGTACTTGTAACTTGACAAATTGTAATGACCAAGTAAACAACTAGTAGCTGGACACATTGAAATGACTATTTCTCTTATCTCTTACTTCAAGTACTCTATAATCTAGACCATTGCCTGACAATTGATTTTTTGGACTAAAAACCTACATTTTATAAAAATTTGAATTCTGCAAATTGACACATTGATATAAAGAGAAATAAGAAGATGTGGTATGAGTGCCAATGAGACAACTCTCCATCCAAGTCACAATGTGTAAAAAGTAAACAATTATAGGTCTAAGTACGGCCTTCAACACGGAGCCTTGGAGACTTTATTTGATAAACCAATAACTTGACATGGATATAAAGATTGGCAGTGATATAACAAAATGTCTTTTGATTTACAGAGCAGATGAAATAATGGGAACACAACAGACATCTGAAGCAGACAAAGAAAACTCACCAGCTAAAGTGGGGAGGGGCTTGTTCAAACGTAAAACTGCCCGGCGGTCCAAGTCACTTGGCAAGGATCACTGGGAAGACGTTATTTTTTGTAAGTCTAAAAAGCCTTTTGATTGGTTCAAAAGGTTGCTAAGGAAATTGTAGTGTAGTAGTAGTATAGCCATGGTAAATGTGAATTTGGAAACTGATGCTAGAAATTCCAGAGAGAATATTTTTTATGTAAATTTCAGCAAAATGAAAAAAATTCCAGAAGCCTGATTAAAATGTATTTCTGAATAATATCATATACCATATATCAGTTATATAGATCTATCTTAAAAACACGGCTCCCGACAATTTTTTGAGTGATCCAGAACCTTAAGTCAAGAGTCTATGTGATCCAGGTTTTGAAGTGAACCAGAATCTTGACTTTCAGAATCATGAATGGAGATTCTACGTGATCCTACACATTAAAACAAGAAAATAATTGATCCAGGACTGCAACAGTTTCTAAGTTCACCCATATATATAATATATAGTATACTCATATGGTGCTAGATGATATTTTATTATTGTTTCTTGTTGTATATGTTATATTGTTAAGTTTATGTTGTTGTTATTAAATTGTTTTATGTGTTAATGTCTTTCCATTGTCTTTGTCATTTTACAAAGGAGGGGGGGGGGATTATTTTGTCTTTGTCTTTTTACAAAGGAGGGGGGAGGGGATTATTTTGTCTTTGTCTTTTTACAAAGGAAGGGGGGATTATTTTGTCTTTGTCTTTTTACAAAGGAGGGGAAAGGGGATTATTTTGTGGGTTTTATGTGTAAGGTTTTAAATATCCAACAAGACACACATTTGCTATAGTTTGTATACAAAATTTGTTCAGCCAGAAAATCCAGTATCCATACAGTAAAAACTTTCTTCAATCCACAAAAATGTGTTAACAAGAAAACAATTGGATCTTCAGTACTTGTATAACCCAACTCTACATAAAGGCTACATTTATATTTTTAAATTATAAGTCAAAATTTAGATAACTGTTCAAGAAAACTTTTCACTTTTGTAAACATTTAAGGATGTACTTAGGTGAAATTAAAAAAATCTAGAATTTAAAATTGATCAAAAGAGCATTAGTTAAGGAACAAAATAAGATAAAAATATTGATAGGTTATGGAGCTCCTTTTCGAGATATTTAATTTTGAAAAATGGCGGGAAAAGGCTTACTCAGACTTTTACCATATATTTGCATTGATATATTTTGGGTCTCAAATCGAAAAGAAAAGAAAAGAAATCTAGAATCTGCTTAAATTTTTGTAAATGACCTTTTATGAGCTATTGAAGTCTTATATGAAAAGAAAAATGGGTGATATGGGGCAAAATATTTTACCCTGTATCGTAGGAAAAAAAACAAGGAGTCCGAACATCTGACAAAAATTCCTAAACCTGACCCAAGTACATCCTTAAGTGTATTCCTAATATAGCAGTAATATACTTTATCAATGGATACTTGAATGTTTTGAATCTTGCACAAAACAATAAATTTGTTGCTTTGAAAAAAACAACATTTTTTCTTTAACCATGAAAAAGAATATCCCTTGAATAAATTAGCTAGTTATTAGTCTTTTGTTGTTTTACCTAACATTGATGTGGTTTTGTGGTTTTTAGCTGATGATGGTGGTAAGTGTATGTCACCCGTAGTTTCCTCAATTGCTATGACAACCTTTTAGTTTTTAGCCATGCTGCTTTTGTCATTCTATGTATCATTTGACCTCTTGACCTTTAAATGAACTACACAACAACTCGTGTGGATTTTGTTGTTTTCACCTGTCAATGGTGGACAGTCCACTCTTGACCACTCAAATTTAATCTCTATTTTTTCAAAAAATATTGAAAGTAAATACTTTTTTCCACAGTATTGTTTATTAAGTTCTTATTAAGTCAGAACATAGTTGACATGTTTACCTCTTAAAGTTTAAACAGGAGAACTTCTAAAAGTTTTTTTTTGCCTCTGTGCCCACATCCATAATGGACAGGTGGATATGTGTACCCCACAAGGTTTAAACAGAGGACCATTTCAAAAGTTTTCCCCCTATGTCCCCAATCTTACCATGGACAGGTGGAAATAACAAAATCCATGTGAGCTGTAGTGTAATACAAACATCATATTTCACATGCTGCCATCTTGCCACATTGAATGTCGTAGTGTAATACAGAACAACATATTTCACATGCTGCCGTCTTGCCACATTGATTGCCTAAAGAATTCTGTTACACGGAAGAAGAATTTCAGATTTGCATGAAATGTCATCAACCTTTTTGATAGTTTTAATAGTGTTAGCTTATATATACTTTCAATACCAACATGGTCCTTAGATACACAATGGCTATTTGCCATTGAACTTTTATCAAATAGCCAATCAACCAATCATATCATCTTGTTAATATATCATTGTCATGTGCCATAGGTAACTTTAAGGTCAGTTCCATTTAAGGAATAGTAGTAATGTATTCAAAGAGTTGCCACCTTCAGATTGGGATTCCATGGTCATGAATGGTGTTTTACTGGCAGAGCAGACCAAAGATAGATTTAACAGTTTGTCAGCGTCAATCCATAATTGACAGTGGCAACTCTTCACATACAGTATTATTATTTCTATTTTATTTCAATATTTATATATCCCAGAATCATCCACAGCGACTACTCTTCATTGTTGCCTATGACTTCGACCCTCAACCATTTGAGGGCAGACATCATCCAATCAAAAATAGCTTTACATGTTACATTGCATTAGAATAATAGATAACATAGCACCTAGGTTGATTTCAAAGTACTGAGAATACTGATGGAATGATAGAATAGCTTTAATTGTCTTATGTTCAATAGTAAAATACTTACACAATCATTATCATTGCACATAGAGTAGAAACATTATAGGTAATTACATAGAAAGCCATTTCTAAGGTTCATGCCTTAGTCATAATTAGTAAGACCACTTTTGTTTCCTTGTTTTGAAGGACTTTTCCAGAAATGGGACCATCAAGGTGTATTTTCACAAGAGTCAGAAGGTCGCTAAACCAGTGTTAAGGGAGATTACTCTTTGAAATTGTTTTTAAAAGGCAGATTTGTCAGCAATTTTTAAAAATTCATTTGAAACAAATCAGAATCAATTTGTGAAACTTAGAAAATGTTTATGAAAATTGATGACGCAAATGTAGCAGTGATTTTAATATAAATATACAACTTTAAATTTCGTGCACTTTCCAGTACATTTTTAATTTTATGCTTATGTTATTACATCATAGCAAGAACTGATTGTTCAACAAGTTTTTCATTCTGTTATGATCAAGTTTATATTGAAACATTATTTGATGATATAATTGTAGTTGGTTTTATAAGATCAAGATGTGATCAAGATTCTTGGTGTATGTATCATTGTGTGCCCTGTATCAAGTCATTCATTCTACATATTAAATGTGGATCCCTTGTGTCTCCTGTATCTCTCTGTCAACCATTGTTCCTAACATCCATAATAGTCAGTGATATCTTAGTGAGAATTTGGAATAAATTTCATAGAAAAATTGAACCACATGATGTAGTTAATCTAATTTTCTTCGGATGATTTTTTTCATACATTGTTGGAATGCCAACATAGATCCTTTTATGCCTTTTTGAAAGTTAGAAATGTATTCTAAAGTTAATGTTGAAGCTAACATCTGTATTTTAACGATGTTTAAAAATGACACTTTTGATTTGTTATTTTTTGTTCTCCAAGTATGCAAATTTTTAGATAACTATCACTATAGATCATTTCACAGAGTGTATTTGTCACTATATTATATCGCTGTATCACAGAGATCTGTCACTATATTATATCGCTGTATGACAGAGATCTCACATTCATCACAAATCATAAAAAACATCAAATTTCTGCCATCTATTCAAAGGGAGATAATTTATTGTTTTAGGCGACAATTATTATGGTGAGTTCACTTAAGCCAGACATGGAAAAAAAATAGTCATTGCTTTCAGATGGATATGTAGTGCCAATATGAATTAAAGACTAGGGGTTTTAACTCTGATTTTCTGTACGAACATGGCTGACCCAGAAAATACTATGTCCGTCCCCTGCCAGGAAGGCACTTTTTTTAACCCCCATCACCCACAGAAATTAGAATAGATCAAACCCCCACCCATAAATGACCACAACCCATATAGTCAAGAAAATAACCCAAAACCCATCATATTACACCTTTTTTAACATACTGACACCCAACTTATTTCATTTCCTGCTCTCGGGCTCCACCTCCATCATTCATTTATTTTGAAATACAACCACCCACATTTAAAAAAAAAAATGCCTTCCTTGGGGGGAGAGGGGGGATACATAATATTTTCACGAACAGAAAATAAAATGGGCATTAGTTCCTATTTGAGGTTGTTCAAAGTTTGATTTAGGATAAATTACTACATAAACACCCTACATTTTTACCTATTTTATATAAAATTTTAAATGTCCCATTTGTTTTAGTTTATGATGAAATTACAGTTCCGAAGAAATATCTGAAAGCTATGACACTTCTTGTTTGGTAAATCAGTACATAATTACACAGCATGATCAAAATTATGTATCTTTTTTTATCTTGAAAATCTATTTCTTTTATGTATATATACATGTATGGAATGAACTTATAACAGGAATATATTTACTCCTATAACAAGTTCTCCGTTGGTGTCAAATGGAAAGTGGCTTTTCTGGGAATATGGAATGTTTTTGGGCTCTATTCCGAACTAGGTCAAAAGAAAATGCTTTGGAATAGTAAATTGCTGCTTGTTATTATGCAGAATTAAGGAGTAAGAGTTAAAGACTGGTTTACTTTGAGTTAGATTTACATTTTTTTCAGTATGGGGACATTTCTTCCTGTAGAATGTTACCTAGTGAAGAAAATATAATAGAAATTTGACTCAGCATCCCAGTCTTCTAATCAAATCCATATTACCATGATGGATGGAGTCCTATATAAGCATGTAATATCTGTATATGGATCAATCAATCAACACTCACACTTCTTTCTGAGTGAAATGTTAAACCCCGCTCATGGAAAGGTGTGTTCAAATCTTAATTTACTAGGATTACCAGCTTCCTGGGGGGGGGGGGGGGGGGGGGGGTACTCTGGCTTTCTCTACCAATAATAACTGGCATCCATGAATAAACCAAGCTTGAGGTTAAACACCAAACAATCAATCAATCTCAGTGAAATGGAATAAAAATGATTGGGTGTATCAATTCATGACACAAAATCACTGGAGCGAGAAAATATTATGAAAGTTCAAAATGACCCCTAACAACAGTTAAAACTGGTCTTGCCACAGGATTATTCAGATGGAAGTTTACTTGAAGTGTAAGACTTCATACAGTTGACTTGTTCAGTTTTACATTCAGTCTTGCATATCACTTCCAAACCCTTATTAACACCAGAGTCAAGCTGTGGTGACCCTTGTAGTAATATCAGACCATTCGAAATTCTTTGTTTATATATGCATGATCATGGCCAATGGAGCTTTAAATCTCACCTCTCAAGTGATCTTGTCGTAGTACAGTTTATTAATTGATTAATAGTTTGTGTTTAATGCCACTTTCAGCATTCTTGGTTATATCATGTGGCCACTATAAAAAGTTTATAGGTGGAGGACGCCAGAGTACAAGGATAGAACCTTCGACAGGAAAACTGGCCTTGTCAGTTAAGATAGGAGTGGAATGCACCTGCCACAACAAACTCACAACCATAGGGTTGACAATGATCACTGTTGATTAACTACTTAGACCACTTGCCCACCGAGGCTCCTACACAACCTTAGGGTTGACTGGCTAATGATCACTGTTGATTAACTACTTAGACCACTTGCCCACCGAGGCTCCTACACAACCTCAGGGTTGACAGGCTACTGACCACTGTTGATTAACTACTTAGACCACTTGACCACCAAGGCTCCTACACAACCTTAGGGTTGACAGGCTAATGATCACTGTTGATTAACTACTTAGACCACTTGCCCACCGAGGCTCCTACACAACCTAAGGGTTGACAATGATCACTGTTGATTAACTACTTAGACCACTTGCCCACCGAGGCTCCTACACAACCTAAGGGTTGACAATGATCACTGTTGATTAACTACTTAGACTACTTGACCACCAAGGCTCCTACACAACCTTAGGGTTGACAGGCTAATGGTCACTGTTGATTAACTACTTAGACCACTTGCCCACCGAGGCTCCTACACAACCTAAGGGTTGACAATGATCACTGTTGATTAACTACTTAGACCACTTGACCACCAAGGCTTCTACACAACCTTAGGATTGACAGGCTAATGGTCACTGTTGATTAACTACTTAGACCACTTGACCACCAAGGCTTCTACACAACCTTAGGATTGACAGGCTAATGGTCACTGTTGATTAACTACTTAGACCACTTGACCACCAAGGCTTCTACACAACCTTAGGGTTGACTGGCTAATGATCACTGTTGATTAACTACTTAGACCACTTGCCCACCAAGGCTCCTACACAACCTTAGGGTTGACAGGCTAATGATCACTGTTGATTAACTACTTAGACCACTTGCCCACCAAGGCTCCTACACAACCTTAGGGTTGACAGGCTAATGATCACTGTTGATTAACTACTTAGACCACTTGCCCACCAAGGCTCCTACACAACCTTAGGGTTGACAGGCTAATGATCACTGTTGATTAACTACTTAGACCACTTGACCACCAAGGCTCCTACACAACCTAAGGGTTGACAATGATCACTGTTGATTAACTACTTAGACCACTTGCCCACCGAGGCTCCTACACAACCTAAGGGTTGACAATGATCACTGTTGATTAACTACTTAGACCACTTGACCACCAAGGCTCCTACACAACCTAAGGGTTGACAATGATCACTGTTGATTAACTACTTAGACCACTTGACCACCAAGGCTCCTACACAACCTAAGGGTTGACAATGATCACTGTTGATTAACTACTTAGACCACTTGACCACCAAGGCTCCTACACAACCTAAGGGTTGACAATGATCACTGTTGATTAACTACTTAGACCACTTTTCCACCAAGGCTCCTACACAACCTCAGGGTTGACAGGCTAATGATCACTTCTGATTAACTACTTAGACCACTTGACCACCAAGGCTTCTACACAACCTCAGGGTTGACAGGCTAATGATCACTGTTGATTAACTACTTAGACCACTTGCCCACCAAGGCTCCTACACAACCTTAGGGTTGACTGGCTAATGATCACTGTTGATTAACTACTTAGACCACTTGCCCACCGAGGCTCCTACACAACCTTAGGGTTGACAGGCTAATGATCACTGTTGATTAACTACTTAGACCACTTTTCCACCAAGGCCCATAGTTTAGTTTTAAGGCTCATGGGTTAAAACTAAGTTACCTAATTCGTTCTTAACAATACCAATTCAAATAACATTCTAATTCCATATACTCTTTATCAGGGGAATATTTTCTTCAGGTTTTGTTTGTGGTTTGTGCCTCAGAAAGGGCAGGGCATTGAATTATTGTGGGGTTCATTTTTTGCCTTGTACAATGCATTCCACTTGTAAGTGAAATGTGTGTGAAGGGTTAATTTTGAGATTGAATATCCTCCATGAAAATCAGACACATGTAAAAATTTTCCTGATATAAGGTATCATCTTCCTGTTTACTTGACTTTTCTGTCTTCAAACCTTGTACATGGTCTTCTCTATCTTTTTATCTTCAATAAAAAAGAGGTTGGTATTGTAACTTAAGATGTATGAGACAAGAAGGCTAATATTTGGAAGAAAGAATATGAATTCGATTTTTATATTTCAACAAAAATATATATTAGAATTAACAATTTATCATTTTTATTAATGATCTCCTTCTTGAAGATAATAGTTAATTTTGGGTTCTGAAAATACAGTACAATAATCAACAAAATGAAAAATAAAGTGCATGGGCCTTTTTTTTCTTTTTTTTTTTTAAAGACAAGTAGTTTTTGCTGTATTTTTGTATGACCTATATACATTCTTTATAAACGAAGCAAAGAAGGACATATTGTGCATGTAACAAGATTCCAAGCTATAGCCTAATTTGAGATATATCAAAAGGGCATGACCATTACTGGTATATATTCAGGTTAATAGAATTTATAAAATAAGATAACTGTGGCATTTAAGTCATTTTCTTTTATATACATTTGTCTTACACAAAATGGATAGTTAGATTATTCTTTATCTTAAAAAAAAAGTATTTGTGTATTTAACTTTTATATAAGAGCAACAATGAGCTGTGTTATTTAGAAGCTTGCATTATATTCATTAAAATGGTTGTAACAAACGTAATATTGATTTTAAGAGATATGTCCCTTATCTTTTTGTCTGACATGATAATATATGATAGAGCAATGAATGTCAACCACCCTGACGGAAATATCAAAGTATTTTTCTAGAAAGGGTAAATGTTTTTGGACTTTCAGTTTACCTTTTACTTTATTTATTATATTATTATATTAATATTTGGTCTGTTTTCTGCATTTATGTGTTTGTTACATTTATTGTTTTTCTTTTAACAGCTAATCTCACAACAAAGTTCCCTGCTTATGAGAAAGTTCTGATAAGTGACGGTAAGAAATATTATTGTTTTTGTCTTATCTCGTTACATATAAAGTTTGATCTCTAAAGCATTTCAAAATACTAAGAAAGAGAACAGAATATACCGAGGAGATATATAAAACTCATTAGGTGAAGACAAACTGACATTGAGCAAGTCAACAAAAATACATAAGGTTGTCTCCCCTGACTTGCTTCATATTCAAAACTCATAGGATGAAGAGAAACAATGTCATGGCAAAAAAACGAAAAACAACGGATAAAGAGCATGTCAACAAAAAATACATAAGGAAGTATTGTCTCCCCTGACTTCATATCAGGGGTTCAAATTAACATTTGGTACTGGAAGGTCCAGGACCTTTGACACTCCAAACTGAAAGGTCCACAACCTAAATCCTAGGTCCTACTTTTACATGAAATATTTCATAACTCAGTAACTAAGATACACATGGTGTTAGGTTATACTGAGCTTGTTTCATCATATTTAAAGAACTGCATGTAATGTTTTGTTAAGTTTACAAATAATTTCCAGGCCACCATATACATAAAGCACTACACTGTCAGTGTCACTGTGGTATAACTTGTATAATGTAATAAATGTATTTGTCTTGTATATTATGAAGTCCAATAATCTTTTTTTTTGTATTGGGGAGGGTGTCACTGTGGGTGGGTGTGTTGTCTCAATCATTGACAATTATACAATAAATTCAGGGCTCACACTACTTCAGAATCATAGGGAGAAGTGACTTCTCTTTTTGAAACTGATAGAGAGAAGTGACGAGATTTGAAAGAGGAGTGTTCAAAGTTGCTCGCGGCGCTACAATGTTTGGTATTAACTATGATATAAAGGGCTATATATGTATCTTTTTTTTTTATATTTTTGTTAAATTTATTCCCGAGTATACAATTAAAGTAAGAGTTCCAATTCAAAGCTGTTTAAGTTTATCATATCTAGTTGCACAATGATTATATTAGTTGTCTTGTCAGAAACTACCAACTAAGTATCTAGCACTGATAAAAAAAAGAACTTTTTTTTACACCAAAAAGGAAAAAAAAGTTGTTATATCAATTAAAGTTCAATTGAAAAACTACTCTGTTATCATGTTTATGAAATTCAGTGTTTCTCATTAAAAAAAACATAGAGATTTAACAAAGTTAAGCTCTGCTGGGACATAATATAATGATATTAGTATAATAATAGTCCCAGAGTTGAGCAACTTTTATAATTAAATTGAAACAATGCATATACATGAAAATATATTGATTGATTGTTGGTTGCTTAACGTCCAGTGGCAAATATTTCATGCATAATCAGGACGAGAACAAATTAACAATAAATACAATAGGTAGGTTCTGTAATAGAGGCGTCTGGGAGTAAAGTCGGAGAAATTTAGACTGCCACGAGAAATGAGGGAATATTGGATAGGGACAGAAATTTAGCCTTGCAACAGGCCACCTACGGACCCCTCAAAGAGTTGTTGCAAGGGTTCTTAACGTGCAAAGAGCGTGGCACTCTATTTACACGAGGCATCGGATTTAACGTCCCCATTCTGACCTGACGTGGCTGGAAATTTGTACATCCCGCACAGCCAAACGGACGCCCCACTTTAGCAAGGGTTTTACTGCCGGTCGGAGGAAGACCAATGGTGACCATACTTCTATTCCCCAGTCACCCTTGGGGGGCATGAAAATATATACATCATTCAAGTAGATCAAGTATTAAATGCGTGTGGAAAGCGTAATTTTTCCTTTTAGGATCAATATTCTTCTGAGGGGGTGGACAGTGGGTACCCTTCTCCCACCTCCCGCCCTTATCTCCCACCTTCCAATTTTAGAATCTTTTTTCTCTCCCATCTCCTCCCACCTCCCTCAAAAGCTGTTCAACCCCTCTCTTCTGTCAGCTGCGCCATTCATGTGTCCGTAGTCATTATCGTAAGAATCCGGATTTCGTTCATATCTGGTCCGTTTCCGATGAATGCTGTACACATATTTCAATGGCCGACGAGAAAAATTACAAAAATAAACAATGTTTGAGACGCTTTTTGGAAGGGAATATGGCGTTTTTAATGCAATACATGGATTACAAATTTACTTACGGCATCTTTCATCACGTTCTAATAAATTAACAAACTCATTTTGCCGACGTTAAAATGATTTGAAGTAAGCTCTCGAGGGGTATATAATAAAAATATGGCTTTGAAATGACGATACTGATAGTTAAAAAAGGTCAGCAAAGTTAATTTTTATTTTCTTCAAATCAAAGGTCCGTCGGGCGTAGCTAGGAACCAAAACGAAAGTCCGATTGCAAAAGTGGAAGGTCACGGACCTCGGACCACCGCTAATTTGAACCCCTGCATATTCAAACTCATAAGGCAAAGAGAAACTGACATCTCCATGGGGAAAAAACGAAAGACGACAAAAGTAGCATGTCAACAAAAAATACACAAGGGAGGATTGTCTCCCCTGACTAACTTTGACACCAATTGCAGTATTAACAAGTTATATATGTAAAAACCAATTATTATACTATCCTATTTTTTGGAAAAGCATTTTTATAATATGAGCCTTTATTCAATTCCTTTTTAAAATATATTTGATTTAAACCATAAAGTCTTTGAATTGATTTGAATTGATTTTCAAATTTGTGTAATTTCATTTTCATGCTTTCTCTGTTTACAGTAAACTTTGTTCGTCCAGTGGTGATATTTGGTGCTCTGTCTGATGTAGCTAGAGAGAAGATGTTGATGGAATACCCAGATAGATTTGAATCTCCTCGTAAGTATGGCAGTGTAGTAGGATTAAAAACGAATCGTCTGATGTGACAAGAAGGAAAATGTCTATAGAACATTCTCATAATTTGAATCTTCTAAAGTATGAAATCACAATTGTTTTTTTTTATGCCCCACCTAGTGGCATTATGTTTTTTCGGTCTGTGCGTTCGTTCACCCTTTCGTCCGTTGGTTCGTCCGTCCGTCCGTCTGCCCTGCTTCAGGTTAAACTTTTTGGTCAAGGTAGTTTTTGATGAAGTTGAAGTCCAATCAACTTGAAGTTTAGTACACATGTTCCCTATGATATGATCTTTCTAATTTTAATGCCAAAGTAGCGTTTTGACCCCAATTTCACGGTCCAATGAACATAGAAAATGATAGTACGAGTGGGGCATCTGTGTACTATGGACACATTCTTGTTTTTCAAAAAAATCTGACTTTAACATTATATAAATTAAGAAATAATTTTACATAGAAATAATAGGATCTGAATTAAAAAGCAAAATTCTATGTGAGGCTGCAATAATTCCATTGAGTATATCACAAAATTCTATGTGAGGCTGCAATAGTTCCATTGAGTATATCACAAAATTCTATGTGAGGCTGCAATAATTCCATTGAGTATATCACAAAATTCTATGTGAGGCTGCAAGAATTCCATTGAGTATATCACAAAATTCTATGTGAGGCTGCAAGAATTCCATTGAGTATATCACAAAATTCTATGTGAGGCTACAATAACATGAATAATTCCATTGAGTATATCACAAAATTCTATGTGAGGCTGCAATAATTCCATTGAGTATATCACAAAGTTCTATGTGATGATGCAATAATGAGTATATCACAAAATTCTATGTGAGGCTGCAATAATTCCATTGAATATATCACAAAAACTTAGGAATTGTCGGCAACTTTAGACAAGGCTCTTCACCTCAGACTAACACATTGATACCATGTTACAGGGACAATTTTATATTCTTTTTTATTACATTTAGTGCAGTGAAATACTGTGATTTCCCAGTTGAATAAAAATGTAATAATTTCACATGTGAAATGAGTCCTGTAATTGAAAAATATTGACTAAACAACAGTGAAAATTCACTCTCACATATTTTAGAATTAATGTGTCTTTCGGATGCTCGTTAAATATTTTGCAATATTTTTGATTCTTGGATAAGTCATTCTATAATTATTTTATTCCTGACAGATCCAGTTGCGGATCCAGAGGGGGTAGGGGTGTTTTCCAGGGGTTGGAATTCCCCCTTTTCTTTGACGATCAATGCTTTTGAATGGGGACATATGGTTGGAACCCCCCTTTATCCTGGGTTGGGAACCCCCCTTTTAAAACTGGCTGGATCCGCCCATGAGACCTTTGCATATTTTGCAATACTTGAATTCTTGGATTAGTTGTTTTATAATAATTGTTTTATTCTGACAGAACAAGACAACCATGGTTTGGAAGATGAGAAGAAAACAAGATCTGGTATTATAAGACTTGGTGCAATCAAAGAAATTATCAACAAGGTTAGTAACAGTTTTTAACTAATATATGTATTTACATAGAAATAAACATTTGATTGATAAAGATTCAGTGTCATATATGGAATATTTTAAATTAATATTAATCATCCATAATAGTCTTTTGTTAAGGTTTTTTGTCAAAACATTTTCATTGAAAAATCCATTTTTGATTATATACTTATGACGTGGCTCTGTACTTATACATCCCGCCATTGTGTTGTTGTGCTATGGCCAGTTTTGAATTATTGTCTTTCATTTTTGCTTTCATTAAGTTTGTTAAAGTAAATTTGTTGTTGCTGTAGCTGAGACCACAGTAAAAAAAAAATTTTTATCTTCATGTTTTTAATTTTTAATTGGATGTGTGTTGTTTTGGTTAATGATAAAATAAACAGTTTATAATTTGGAAATGAACTTCTTTAGTTAGTATTAATTTTTTTTTTAAGTGTAAGTCTAATAATTTTAAGACTTGTCTACATGTATCATCTATCACTCTCATACCCCAGGCCATAATCTTGCCGGCGAAATGACGATTTAAGTCGCCAAAGAATTTTGAAAATCGCTAAATCTCGCCGGCCGACTGACTTCATAGCGAAGTCAAATCGCTATCAAAATCGGTAAAAGGGAGACAACTTGTGATTGACAAGTCTCACAGGTAAAAAAAATGGCGGCTGACAAGGAAAATCGAGATTTTCAAAACGACCCAGGACTAATACTGTAAACGATCAAATTAGATAAATACAACGGCGACTTTGAACATCCTCGGATATAACTTTCAAAACTGTTCAAACGGGATACTGACCGCCTGTTTAAGTTATCGTTTTACGATGATTTTCATCTGAGGATGTTGCGTAATCACTCAGCTGATTTGTTTTATTTTTATTACCTACACGAGTCGATCAATTTTACTATTCGGTAGATAAAGGGTGGGAACTAACGGTAGATTTATTATATTCATTGAATAAAAATTGAAATATAAAAGGTAGAAAGACAGCTGATGGATAATGTGATTGCAAACGTACGACACTCGACCAGATTGTAATCAGCAGTGGATTTTTTCTCATGACCACTTCGTTGATATGGATGATATTTTTAAAAAAATGATAGAAATTAGCTCTTTATCGGATAATTATTTTGCGATTGAAAGATATTTTCAATTTATAGACTTACAATCTTTAACGATAATCTTAATTTACAACTCACATAAATGTGCTGGACATTCAATAATGTTTTACAAAATAATGACAAGTGGTGATATAAATTAAATTCCCAGTCATATGAAATTCATCAGGTAAACTGGGAGTCATATTTTTCTGGAGTTTTAAAAATAAATTGAGGCAGATGCACATGAATTTAATGCATCATAATCTTGATAATATTACTAGGCTACTCCCTCATGTCCCAATCTACAAATTTTATTTAGAACACATTATGGTATCAATAAATAAATAACAACTATATATTGTCTAAACCTTTTTATTAAGAACTTTCTATATATATATACATTGTGTACAATAACATATGAAAAAACTGCAAGTGTATCTTTTATTGAATATAAAACAATTTCCTTAGTGATACATGTGATAAGCATGAAAACACGATGCAACCGAAACGGTAATGGAATCTCACTTCTCCAAGAAGTTGACCACTTCTCCCTTCTCTCTCATGGAAGGAGAAGTCACTTCTCCCTCTTCAAAATCCTAGATTAGGCCCTGATACCCTTGTAAAAATTACAGTCTAATATAGATTCTACTACTGTATCATGTGTGATACGATATTTATCCGCTCAAGACAGTTAAATTTTCAAATTTAAAAATTTAACTGTTGAGAGTGAATAAAAATCGTATTGCACGAGATTTGTGATGGAATCTGTTTCTCTAATGATTTCTCGATCATATGCAGACAAATTTAATTCTTCTTTTCGAATGATCTGCAAAAAGATATGTTCTTTCTATATGATGTCATCAGTCATGGTCGCCTTTTTTCATGACGTCACAATAGGAATTTCAGAGGAAAGCAAGAAAATTTGACGTCATAATCGAATTTTGACCAATGAAGAACTGAGATCAAAGGAACCACAAGTAGATTAAATAAAAATAATCAACAGGTCAGAAAAAGGATAATTCCGGTAAGAATTAGACAGATAGAAGAGTTCATAATATATATAATTTTTTTTTCTCTATTTTCCATAGAAAACATTGTCTACTAGACGTCACTCTAAACAACGTTGACAACACTAAAGAATTGACTTATGATTTGTTTTGTTTTTATTTTCCAGAGAAAACATTGTCTATTAGATGTCACTCCAAACAATGTTGACAAACTAAATTATGCACAGTATTATCCAATTGTCATCTTCCTAAAAGCTGAGAGCAAAAATGTTGTCAAAGAATCTCGATCTCGTCTGGCTAAGGGTTCCAGTAAAAACCCTAAGAAACTTTACGAGCAAAGTTTGAAGTTAGAGAAAATGTACAGTCACCTGTTTACTGGTATGTATACTATTACTAAGGAATAATCGTGTTGTGTATGAAAAGTTGCCACCGTCAATTGCAGATTTGATGGTCACAAATATAGTTTCACAGGCAACACCGTACTTGATATTTCTGTTGAAATGAAATAGTAGTAAAATGTTGAAAATGAAATAATTTAAATATCCTCAGAATGTTATATGTGATTATTGACATTATATATCATCCAATCAAAAGTGATAACTCTGCAAAATATCAGAAAGAGGCTACAATACCTTGCTGATTCTGAAAGAGTGAAAGAGTTCACAACTGACAACTACTGAGAAAACATTCATATTCAATTTTCATAGGTCGAGAAAAAAATCATATCATAGATACCTTGTTTTCCTGGTTGTGTTAATTCTGTATAAAAGTTTAGGGAAAATTTTGTTGAACCCTTAAATTTGTGATTCTTCACCCATACCCACAAAATCCACAACTATTGGTACCCCCCCCCCCCCCCCCCCCCCCCCCTCCAATAATAATGAATCCACAGTATCTGTTAAAGTAAAGGGAAATTTTGCTGATAGTCCACAACAAAAATTCAATAAACAATGTATCATACAAATTAGACCTACAAGGTCTACAATTTTTTTTTATCATGAGCTTATTAATAATTAGTTTGATTGATTTAAATAGGAGCAGTTGTACAGAATAACACAGATATTTGGTTTAGAAGAGTGTTGGAAGTTATAGAGGTGCAGCAAAAACAACAGATATGGATGTCAGAAGGACAAGTGAGTTATCTCCCATTAAATTTATGCAAAGAGTCCATGATGGAAACATTTCCTGCCTCAGGTTAGAAGTACTCTCCAGGTACTGTGACTTCCTCCACCAATGCACGCTGGTTCGCATGTTCAACAAACAAACATTGGGATAACATAATATTAAGGGGACTATTTTCATGAAGATTAAATTTTGTGACTTCAAAATCAAATTCTAATTAGTAAGGTTAAATTTTTCGTGTTTTTCATGTATCTGATTCTGATCTACCTTAAAGATCAAATTTACCTGAAGGCATATTTTCACCTTTTTTTTCCTGATACAAAATCAGTGAAAAAAACTAATGAAAATTTCCCACATGATAGTATTTATTTTAGATTGGCACTAGAGACTATTATTCTGAATTAGTTCGTACAAGATACCAGAGTAACAAGATGTGTTAAGATATAAAGGAAGATGATAAGTTGGTCATGCTAAGGTCGTGCTAAGGTCATGATTCTTCTAATTAGGTAGCTTGTGTGGTCATCATCAAGATGTCAAATAATTAGTCAGTGAATATATTGTAATTTATAAATATTCTATTTGTTGTCAATGTAATTCTTTGACTATTTCAGCCAGAAGACAATGTCCACGATGATTATTTATTCCCAATGAACAGCCGACTCAGTTTTGCTGGACCCCGTGAAAGTGAGCAAGACTTGACTCGTCATCGGGATGAATTTGAGTTCTCACCCAAACATCGACCACGATTAGTGAGGTCGTCATCTGATCCCAGTGTTAACACCATGGAGAAGATTCCTGGTATTCCGCCTTATCCGGCACCACCCAGTTATCGCAAACCCTCAAGTGTAAGTAATATTCATAATATACCACTGACGGTGAAAAACAAGTTAGGGGGCTTTTTCGTAAATAACTGAAAAATAGTTGGTATTCGGAAGGCACTTTTTATTTTGTCCCACCATTCATAAAATTTTAATTGATTATTTCTTTTAGTTATTCAGGCTATTTATATTTATATTACAATATATAATAAAACACCAAAGATTAAATTTTGATAGAAGTGCCTTCTGACCAGGGCTTCCAAAACGGTCATATATTCCGGACTTGACCGAAACATTCATAAAATGACCGGCTGCTCTCAGCCTCAAACGGTCAAATAGAATTGGTGTGCCACATTTTGTTATTCAAGGCATTTTCATGAAACGGTCATTTCAATTTTTACCAACTATCGATCGATAAAAATGTCCGTTTGGGGCTTTGGGCATGTCCGTTTGGGCATTTTAGTTTATAATTGTGGCAATCAATTTCACAAAGATATTTCGGTCATAATTGGGTTTAATAAAACAGAAGCAGCATATTTCAGATACTTTGAAGTGTCTCAGTTAGTCTAATCCTCTGGGTACATAAATGTACGGCTTCATGGGCTTGGTCTTTAGCTTGTGTACATCAATAAAAAGTAGAAAAAACACGTTTTCTTTTATTTAAATAACAAGAAGCTGTCAAACAATTATCCCTTCAATAAGTTATATTGAAGCCATAAATCATTCACTGATTACAGGTTTGTTACCTTTGATGAGGTGTCCTTAGCTTGTCTTTATCAATAGAATTAATGATGCATAACAATGTACATAAAGGTAATCAGGTAAACGAGGTCAAACATGTAAGAGTGTATGGAACAACATCCTATTTAATTACGATTTATAGATATTATTTTAATTGAGCATCCAGTTTAAAACAGTATCCTGATATTTAAAAGTTATTCTTCAAATAAGGATATTTATAAATGAATAAGTATGATATATATTATTTTATTTAACACTGTACATCGTGTTAAATACTGGGGTACTCTCAAGGGGAAAATTTACTAAAATATATAGGAAAAACACTGAGAATAGCTTCGCTTGGGTATACCAAGCTGAGTTGTCCAATAAATAAGGGGGGTGTTCTCTATTCTTGTTTTCATATTAAAAACTGTTTTTATAATTAAAATCATAAAGAATAATATCCAATCATGACAATCTCCGACTGTTATAAAGACTTTGTCTCAAATTGAACTTTACAATTCTGCCTTCATGGGCAAACGTAAACGTGACGATTCCGATCAAAACTCGAAATCTGCTAAAAATGCTAGAAGCTTTATTCATAAATGGTTACAACTGTTTTTATGGTTAAGATTTGACAGTATGCTAAATGCCATGTTTTGTGACATTTGTCAAAAACATAAACTTAAAAATAACTTTGTAAAGCCTGGTTCGACAAATTTTCGAAAGTCAGCCGTTGTAGAGCATGCTAATAGCAATGACCACGTTCAAGCTCTTAAATTAGAGACAGCTTCCAAAAGTAATCCAATTGTATCAGTATTTGAGAAAGTTCATGAAAAGACTGACAACGCAATGTGCACCTTGTTCCGTAATGCTTACTTTATTGCTAAAGAAAACTTACCCAAGGACAAATTTCAGTCAATAAATGATTTAACTAAGTTAAATGGTGCCGTGATCACTTCTAAATTATATCAAGAGAACAATGCCTGCTCCGAATTTATTCAGACAATTTCCGATGTTATAGAGAAAGAGGTGATGTCCGACGTAAAGTTAAGTCCCGCCGTGGGAATTATGATCGACGAGTCAACTGATCTGGCTACGCAAAAACATTTAATTTTGTACTTATCATACCTCAAAGCTGGTGAACTGAAAATTAGTTTTACAAAACTTTTGAACTTGTCTTCTGGTACCGCCGTGTCAATTACTGCACATATAATTGCCTATTTAAAGTCATTTGGTGTAGACTTGTCTAAAATATTCGGCATGGGGTCTGACGGTGCGTCGGTTATGATAGGAAAGCATGGAGGTGTATCTCAGCTTTTAAAAGACACTTCTCCACACTTAGTAGAGGTTCATTGCGTAGCTCACCGCCTAGCATTAGCCTGTGTCGACACGGCAAAAGAAATTCCGGACATTAAATTTTTAGAAAGCATTGTTAGCACTGTATATTCGTATTACAAACGTTCACCCACAAACCTTGCCGAACTACGATCATGGCAACTAATAATAGATGATCCGTTGTTAAATCCGCTTGATATTCATAAAGTCCGCTGGCTTTCTATGGGAAACGCTTTAGACAATCTCCGCCGTTCTGTTGTCTCCATTGTAAACATGTTAGGCGACCAGAGTGACACCGACATCGTGGCTAATTCTCTTCACAACAGTATGACAACATACAAGTTCTTTTTCATGCTCTACTTTTTATCCGACCTGTTTGGTAAAATTAATCAGCTCAGCAAATCACTTCAAAAATGTGACTTGTCTTATGCCACCGTGAAACAATTAGTTGACTCTTTTCTTATGGCAATAGAGGCCGAGTACTTAACCGAGATTCCTTCATTTGGACCATTATGTGCCGAATTTCTAAAATCAACAGACCAATCTGACAGCTTCAACACTATCACCTTTAAACGTAACAACCGTGACATTCATCTCAAGACAAGAGCCGTGCAATGTGCCCAATTGATACATGATAACATTCGTGACCGATTTCCAGACAACAAAATTTTCGAAGCATTCTCTGTATTTGAACCGTCGAACTTTCCAAGTAGTGTTGACGACCTTCCTCGCTACGGTGAACAACAGTTAGAGTGTCTCGGAGACCATTATAGTATAGTCAACCAAGAAGAACTACAAATAGAATGGGGCATACTTAAGTATTTGATCTTCAACAACTACAAGGGACTTTCGTTTGCCGATCTGTTGACTGCAATTATTTCAAGAAAAGACCAGTTCCCAAATACAATTTCGCTAATGGAAATTTCACGTGTTTTGCCAGTTTCTAGTGTTGAATGTGAAAGGGGTTTTTCAAGGCAGAACATTATCAAGACAAAACTAAGGTGTAGTCTAGGTATTGACTTTAGATCAACTTATGAGGATAAGCTTAGTAGGTGTAGATGTTAAAGACTTTGACCCTGTTCCTGCTATCCGCAAATGGCAATCCGTTCGTAACCGCCATGTTTATCAGAACAATGCATTTAGCAAGCTCATGAATGTAAAATCTTAAATTAGACTAAATGAACTTCTAATCTTGTGCTGTGATCTGTGCTTCTTTTCAATGTGCTCATTGTAATATTTATTAGTCAACATTGTGCTCTTCTGATATTTTATTGTTGTTATATGCTTACATAAAATATCATGTTGTTATTCATTAAATTATTTATCAACTGAGTATGTTTTTATTTATTCCTTATTTTCTAAATCAGGTTGGGAAATTGTACAAAGAAAAATATTATCACTGTTCAGTAGATTTTACACGGTTTAAAACAATATCCTTCATTGGGCCTCCTCAATGTTATCTATAAATACCGCATCAGTTGTAAAAGTCACGTGGTCAGGTAATCAATACACAAAAAGAAAAGTATCACGTGTATTGATGATCAAGTTGTACTGCAATTAAAGCCAACATCAACAGTTTCAAATAAGATGGCCTTAATTTACAAAGTGTTAAGTACTCACAGAGAGAAGATAAATTATATAAACAGAAACAAAAACATGAGAACAGTCAGGTACTGAAGCTGATTGATGCAATGATGGTTACTGTATTACGATACACAGAAAAATGACACAATACCGAGGATAATATTTTATTTATTTTTAGAATGAAGAAAACAAAACAGTTATAAATAATTTTATTGCATATAACACTACTAATTATTTAGACACATATATCAATTTATGCATCCTCTCAGTTACATTTAAGTATCCAGCTGATCATTGACCGTCAAAAATATTTCTTTGAAAAATGTCCGGCTGACGTCAGGAAATTTTGGAAGCCCTGCTTCTGACCTATACCCACCAAACCTACAAAAAGAAGTGCTCCATGAATAATATTGGATCCATTGTTTTGAAAAATGATAGATGCTATGTCAGTGTTTAATAAAGATAATTAAAAACTGAGATCAATAGTCTAGGGGCCTTATGGCTGAGTGATCTGAGATCAGTAGTCTAGGGGCCGTGATGGCTGAGTGATTTGAGATCAGTAGTCTAGGGGCCTTGATGGCAGAGTGATCTGTATCAGTAGTCTAGGGGCCTTGATGACTGATTGATCTAAGATCAGTAGTCTAGGGGCCTTGATGGCTGAGTGATCTGAGATCAGTAGTCTAGGATCCTTGATGGCCGAGTGATCTGAGATCAGTAGTCTAGGGCCTTGATGGCTGATTGATCTAAGATCAGTAGTCTAGGGGCCTTGATGGCCAAGTGATCAGAGATCAGTAGTCTAGGGCCTTGATGGCCGAGTGATCTGAGATCAGTAGTCTAGGGGCCTTGATGGCCAAGTGATCAGAGATCAGTAGTCTAGGGCCTTGATGGCCGAGTGATCCGAGATCAGTAGTCTAGGGGCCTTGATGACCAAGTGATCTGTATCAGTACTCTAGGGGCCTTGATGACTGAGTGATCTCAGATCAGTAGTCTAGGGGCCTTGATGGCTGAGTGATCTGAGATCCGTAGTCTAGGGCCTTGCGAGTGATCTGTATCAGTAGTCTAGGGCCTTGATGGCCGAGTGAACTGAGATCAGTAGACTAGGGGGCCTTGATGACCGAGTGATCTGAGATCAGTAGTCTAGGGGCCTTGATGACGGAGTGATCTGTATCAGTAGTCTAGGGGCCTTTATAACCGAGTGAACTGAGATCAGTAGACTAGGGGCCTTGATGGCCGAGCGATCTGAGATCGGTAGTCTAGGGCCTTGATGGCCGAGTGATCTGAGTACTTTATTAACACTGATCACTATTCATTTAAGATTGTCACACTGACTCAGCTAGTGTCAAGGTTTGTTGTATTCTGCTTTTAATTGTCAAGAATTGTCAGTGTTCCTGAGTACTCTGGTTTCCTCCACTAATAAAAACTGGTCGCCAAAATATAGCGGAGATCTCTGATGTTTTTGAGTTTTTGTCTTTTTTTCTAATACTATATGCAATAGTTCAACTATATTTGTTGTATGGAAGAATTGTTAGCTGTACATGCCTGCCTAGCATGGTTCATCTGACCTTGACCTCATTTTTATGGTTCATTGGTCAATGTTTAGTTTACTTGGTTAATGTTAAGTTTATGTGACAGCTGTAATAAAGCTTTATATTTAGGACTATCAACATAATATAAATGATTAGTAAAGAAGGCGAGACATTTCAGCGTGTGCACTCTTGTTTACTTCTAAGAATTTTCTTCTTCATTGACATCCATAATAACATAATAATATCAATCATAATGCAACATTATTATAACCCAACCATATATAATTTGTACTATAAATATTTTATCTTTCTTACAGCCGACATCACCTGGGGGAGGAATGTATGATGACAGACGTTACGTTGATCGTAAGTTATCATCTCAATTTTGATTGGTTCATTATTTATATACCCTTACGACAAATAAATCTAACATGTCATTTACTATAACCTGGCTGTAGGGATCATTTTGTTTGTGTGGATGCTTGATATAAATATTAGTAGAATGATGAATTTTTCTATGTTAAACTTTTTCGGCTTTGCTTCCTGCTTTTTGTTGGAAAGCCATTATTACATAAATTTATCAAAAGTTGAAGATAAGTCAAAAGAATGATGGCTGATTCACTCTCAAGTATCTGTTTGTATAATTTACTTATATTACATAGGAAATATATGACAGTCTTGAATCAGATATGACCCTATCATGAGCATCTCTCAGTACTTCAAGAAACAACAACAAAATTTAGTTTTAGCTGAATTGCATTTTGTGTTTGTATTGGAGTAAAATTCCTAGTTTATATTTCAGTGCATCGTAATCAATCCTGTTATTGTTTGATGTTAATTGATTGGGGATAATATTGAGGGGTATGGGAGTATTGGCACATATGAGACCCTTAAAACTATTAACATGATTAAGTATCCAGCATTTAAGAAGATTATAACTTTGATTTGCTGTTTTTTGTGTAGGGCTATTCCATTATATTGATGTGGGAGGGAAGGAAGGGACTTACAAACTAACCTTACAACCCATTAATTTTCTATGGAAAAATTTGCATGTCTGAAATGGATATATAACCATAAATGACACCTATACCATTTCCAAAAATAAAACTTCCCCTCCTACCCTCCCCATTTGTATTAATGGAATAGCCCTTAAAAAACTGGATGTTTAGTATCACATGGATTAAACTTTGTAGATTACTAATGCTTGAAAAACACTTTATTTTTTCATTAGAAATATTTTTGAGTTTTCTTGCTTCAGCTAACCAGTGTGAGTTTTGTGTGAACTAACGTGACAATTTTATTTGCAGTTGACCAATCAGAGGATAGATATTACCCATCATACTATGCGAACAATATGTCGCCACGTCACCCTAGTCGATCACATATTGATGCTTATGCCACAATTACTCCGCATGAACGACTTCGGCCATCTCTCCCTACTGATGGTAGGTTATAACAGAGGTTCTAGAGTATTGTTATCATGTTACAGCAGATATTTTGATTATGTACAAAAAACTATGATGTTAAGTGTGCTTGGTGAACTATAATATTATTAAGACCTTAGTTTACTACAGTAAATTCAGAAATTTTTGGAATGTTTGTATTATTACTGTGAATTCTTTTATTTTCATGACTATCAGTTTTTGTGGATTGAGGAAATGTTGTATTTTTAATGATATTGGATTTTGTGGTTTTTCCAAAGTCTGCGTACAAACTGAAGCCTGGAAAGGTTAATTAACTACTGTTGCCTTTATTAAGTACAAACTGTAGCCTGGAAAGGTTAATTAATGTTTTGAGTACAAACTGTAGCCTGGAAAGGTTAATTAATGATTTGAGTACAAACTGTAGCTTGGAAAGTTTAATTAATGTTTTGAGTACAAACTGTAGCCTGGAAAGGTTAATTAATGTTTTGAGTACAAACTGTAGCCTGGAAAGGTTAATTAATGTTTTGAGTACAAACTGTAGCCTGGAAAGTTTAATTAATGTTTTGAGATCAAACTGTAGCCTGGAAAGGTTATTTAATGTTTTATGTACAAGATCTATGCTAAAGTGAACTATAATATGAATCAAGTGTTTTGAAATTATTGTTGTAGAACGATGGTTTGATCCTGCTTATGATTTAAAGTCAGCACCAGATCATCGGAGAACTGATAGCGACCCTGCCCATCGATCATACCACAATTCTCATCCTCACATTCCAAACGATAGTAAGGTAGGTTATCACCATGACAACAGATCATGACCCTGACCATCGATTATACCACAATTCTCATCCTCACATTCCAAACCATAGTAAGGTAGGTCATCACCATGTCAACAGATAGTAACCCTGCCTAAAGATCATACCACAATTCTCATCCTCATATTCCAAATGATATTAAGGTAGGATATCACCATGACAACTGATAGCGACCCTGCCCATCAATCATACCACAATTCTCATCTTCAAATTCCAAATGATATTAAGATAGGTTATCACCATGACAACTGATAGGGACCCTGCCCATTGATAATACCATAATTCTCATCCTCACATTCCAAACGATACTAAGGTAGGTTATCACCATGACAACTGATAGCGACCCTGCCCATCGATCATACCACAATTCTCACCCTCACATTCCAAACACCATTAAAAAGCTTATCATTCTCACAGACAAAATGATGATATAAGATCATAACCTTGACAAAAGACATTGATCCTTCCTTACAGTTGAAGAGTGATAAGGATACAATTAGTGAGTTTGCACAATTTTAGCTGAAGGAGGGCAGAGTTTTAATTATTTTGTCCTTTTGACAACAACTTTAAAACAAAGATGGAGAAGTTTGGTAAACATCAATGAGACAGCAAATCATCAACAACAATAAAGCAAGAAAAGACAGGATTAATTAGTTCTCCATTGCCCCTGTCAAGAAAAACTATAAAGAGAGACTACAAAAGATCTGTTGTCATCTCCAGAAACTATCTCTGTATATTATTCAGTTGTAGCCTTTCTTTGAGGTCAATACAAAGATATATTGACCCAAAATGTTTAAAGATCTCGGACTTTGTCCTCGGTCAATATACTTTATTTATATCAATTTATCCAAGTATTGTCCTTATATAATTTCTAAACATACATGTAGTATAATAACATACCAACTGTAAACCAACTTATTTCATGTTTAGCCCTTAAGTGTCTATTTCACAACAATTTATTCTCTTGATTTATAACCTGTGTGATGTATTTCTTTGATAAAAGATCCAGATTTGACATATTTGTAAAGAATTGTATTCATGCTATTTTTGTACTTGCGAAAGATGCAAGAAAAAAAATATGATCCTGAAATTTTGTTGGATATAATCATTCTTTTTCACACTTTACAGCCATTTCATGATAATGCCTCATTCAGCGGAGATTCCTACACACGATATACATCTCATCCTGCTAATAAACATGATGATTCAAAACTCAGAGAAAAATTTGGGACCAAAAGTGTTCGTAATACATCACACGACCCGTACAGATTTACACGGAGTACGGCTCATCCGGTGAATACAGCTAGTGTTGATAAATCAAAACTGTCTGATCTCACAGCACGGTACAGGTAAGCTGAAATAAACACAATAATTATTTATTCACTGGGACCCTTAAATTTCTTCTAAGAGAAATCCATCACTCATTGAATAATTTGCCTGCATAAAAAATATCTAAGTAGATAAAAATACATGTATCAACTCACAAAACTGCATGTGATGTTGTATTTATTCAATATCAATAATGTATTTTCAATCTGCTTTTATTATTATAAGCAAGATGAATCCAATCCAGAACCTCCTTTTATATTACAGGAAAGATGAACCCAATCAAAAACCTCCTTTTATATTACAGGAAAGATGAACCCAATAAAAAACCTCCTTTTATATTACAGGAAAGATGAACCCAATCAAAAACCTCCTTTTATATTACAGGAAAGATGAACCCAATCAAAAACCTCCTTTTATATTACAGGAAAGATGAACCCAATCAAAAACCTCCTTTTATATTACAGGAAAGATGAACCCAATCAAAAACCTCCTTTTATATTACAGGAAAGATGAACCCAATAAAAAACCTCCTTTTATATTACAGGAAAGATGAACCCAATCAAAAACCTCGTTCATTATCAACATCTCGTCTTCCAACCTCACCACAGAGTCAGCCATCATACAACGATCAACCACAGAAAAAGGTGCCACCACCTGTACCGGTCAAAACTTATAATCTGAAAGAGCGAGGCATAGAACCTGACGAACTCAAAATGAGGAACTACGAAAACACTAGCAGGTATGGAATCAATATTTCTCTGCTAAGTTCTTATCTCTGCTGTTATAGAGACATTCAAAAGTATGGAAGTAATATTTCTCAGCTAAGTTCTTATCTCTGCTGTTATAGAGACTATCAAAAGTATGGAAGTAATATTTCACAGCTAAGTTCTTATCTCTGCTGTTATAGAGACTTTCAAAGTATGGAAGTAATATTTCACAGCTAAGTTCTTATCTCTGCTGTTATAGAGACATTCAAAAGTATGGAAGTAATATTTTACAGCTAAGTTCTTATCTCTGCTGTTATAGAGACATTCAAAAGTATTGAAGTAATATTTTACAGCTAAGTTCTTATCTCTGCTGTTATAGAGACTTTCAAAAGTATGGAAGTAATATTTCACAGCTAAGTTCTTACCTCTGCTGTTATAGAGACTTTCAAAAGTATGGAAGTAATATTTCACTGCTAAGTTCTTATCTCTGCTGTTATAGAGACATTCAAAAGTATGGAAGTAATATTTCACAGCTAAGTTCTTATCTCTGCTGTTATAGGGACATTCAAAATCATGGAAATTTTTATATCAGTTGTCAATTATTTAAGACCGTATGCCAGGAGAGGATTCAGATGGGGCATAGAGGGTTACCTCTTGATTGTAAAAAAAATTGGTATGAAATCTTGATAATAATTTGATAAACTCTCTTATTATCAGAACTATTTTGGACACTTTCCTCTGTCACTGGATTCACCCCTGTATGTAGACCATTAGTTGTCTGCTGGATTGTTTAATGTCATTTGGCATCTGTCTTGCTAATATATGCCTAATGTCTCCCTTTATTCACTGGTTCTTAGATTCTATGAAAATCAGTTTCTCAAATAAAATTATATTTAACTGAAGTTATCTCCCTTGATCAGCTTGTGTGTAGCATTATATCAAACTTGTGTATAGTTTTCAGCACTTTTATTATCTGAAAAGCTTGTTTTCTATGTTTTATTAAATACCACACAAACACACATTTATGACATCATTCAATTATTTATACGATCATAGCTTTATATGGAGAAAGGAAGGAATATTTAGGTCAACCAAAAAACGTAACACTAAATAGAATTCATCCATTGATTTAGCTTATCCTTGACTAAAGTCTTGATTTATTGTCAAATTCATTTCCACAATGTTGCACAAACTGAAAAGATTTATCATATCTCACTGTTTAGCATTATAGTCTTCAAAAAGTAATTATAGTTAAATGTTATGTTTACTGTATCCCTGTCTGTCATTTACTTATATGGGTAGATAATACAACACTAACAGACAGGAATATTACATTTCTTAAATTCTAAATTAACCCAAGTTTTATTTCAACATTACATCACCTTTTATTCATATTGTATAGAATATTTTAAATCTGTATAAATTGATATGTACTCAAATCTAAATAAAGTTTTTAATACAAATCAGTGAATATGATATAATTTATAAATTTATGGGAAAACTCCTTTAATTAAAGGTGTTAGTAGAAATAATTGTGTGTACTTCAATGTAAATTTGATTTTGGATTAAATACTGCTAAGACGATGACATCTGTTTATGTAAAAATTTTAAGAACAATTTTTGTCGAGCCTGCGACTTTTGGTCGCAGAAAGCTCGATATAGGGATAGTGATCCGGCGGCGGCGGCGGCGGCGGCGGCGGCGGCGGCGGCGTTAGCTAACTTCTTAAAAGCTTTATATTTCAGAAGGTGGAAGACCTGGATGCTTCATACTTTGTATATGGATTCCTCATGTTACGAAGTTTCCGTCAGTCACATGTCCAATGTCCTTGACCTCATTTTCATGGTTCAGTGACTACTTGAAAAAAAAGTTAAAATTTTTTGTAATGTTAAATTCTCTCTTATTATAAGTAGTAGGATAACTATATTTGGTATGTGCGTACCTTGCAAGGTCCTCATGCCCGTCAGACAGTTTTCACTTGACCTCGACCTCATTTCATGGATCAGTGAACAAGGTTAAGTTTTGGTGGTCAAGTCCATATCTCAGATACTATAAGCAATAGGTCTAGTATATTCGGTGTATGGAAGGACTGTAAGGTGTACATGTCCAACTGGCAGGTGTCATCTGACCTTGACCTCATTTTCATGGTTCAGTGGTTATAGTTAAGTTTTTGTGTTTTGGTCTGTTTTTCTTATACTGTATGCAATAGGTCTACTATATTTGGTGTATGGAATGATTGTAAGGTGTACATGTCTAGCTGGCAGGTGTCATCTGACCTTGACCTCGTTTTCATGGTTCAGTGGTCAAAGTTAAGTTTTTGAGTTTTGGTATTTTTTTCTAATACTATATGCCATAGGTCAACTATATTTGGTGTATGGAAATATTTTATGATCTATATGTCAGTCACGCAGGTTTTATATGACCTTGACCTCATTTTCACGGTTCATTGATCAGTGTTAAGTTTTTGTGTTTTGGTCTGTTTTTCTTAAACTATAAGCAATAGCTATATAGGTCAACTATATTTGTTATATGGAAGAATTGTTGACTGTACATGTCTGCCTGGCACGGTTCATCTGACCTTGACCTCATTTTCATGGTTCATTGGTCAATGTTTAGTTTTCTTGGTTAATGTTAAGTTTATGTGACAGTTGTAATAAAGCTTTATATTTAGGACTATCAACATAATATCAATGATTAGTAAAGAAGGCGAGACATTTCAGTGTGTGCACTCTTGTGAATAAAAATATTAATTTCACAAATCACATTTATAATATCCAGATAGAAATGTCTATCATGATTATTTTTTACAGGGTATACCTATTCAAGAACAAAAACAATCACTCAAAATGATTAATTTTGTGAAAAAGATTAAATTCCAATCGAGGCAAAATAAACAGGCATCTTTACAATAAATATATATATAGCCTTAGCCATATTTGGCACAAGTTTTCAAGTAAATAAAAGTTTAGAAAAGTTAGGAATTATCAAATCATTTGAAAGTGTAAAAACACCACATTCATGTATTTGCTTAGCTTAATTTTTATTTATGCTTTTATTTCCAATATTAAAGCTTTGTTCACTGCTTTTGCAGATCTTATAACTATAACGATGGCAGTGCATACGCCACAGTAAACAAACCTGATCGTTACCATAATGATGAAAATCCCTATGATTATGTTGTACCAAGATCTGGTTACCCACGACAACAGCAAACAGCACCGCCACCTCATCAAAGCCATTATGCTAAACCTTTCACAGGAAGTCCCAACAAGGGAGTTAACTCTGGCAGATATTTTGAGAATCAAATTTACATGGACACTAAAGATTTAGAAAAACTGAAATCTGTTCAGTCTGATCACCGTGGCAACCAGGAATATTACTCACGTGACCCTGGATATGTAAGTCCAGGAGATCGACCAAGGTGAGCTTTTTGACCTTGAACTTTGACACTTATGGCTGCTGCTTTCACTCAATACTATTTTTACAAGGATTCATTGTTAACCATATACAGATTAGTTTGAGATAAATAACACAGGTATTGGTTGTAATACTAAAATCACAATTTTTTTTTTTTTTGAAATTCTTACTTTCACCCTGTATTCATCCTAATAACAGCTGTAACTGTTTAAATGCCCTGAAGTATTCACACCCTGATCTTCCTACATACATCTCTGTTTGACCCTATTGGCTTATTTCAATTTTTTTATCAAAATATATTTTATTTCAAACTGAATGTATTTGTTTTGTACTGTTAACTTGAAAAAATACTAATTGTAAAGAAAAGCCATGATAAGAGTTATAAAGGATAACGTTTTTATTATATTCCTCTATCAAATCCTTTAGTGAAAAAAAAGGTCCCCCAGTATTTAATTTGAAGGATTTACAATAGGCTTGCATTGTGATAATAAATAAAAGTAAAATAAAGGGTAAATATTCAGCACAAAGAGGTATACTAATAAAGCAATTGGTATAACAAATTAAATATTTTAATGTTTTTTTTTTCATATTCTTTAAGGATGTTTGCTACTCATGTTTTTGACTTTTTGTCAGATATTCGTAATCTTCTAGTTTTATCCATGTAGTACCAATAAAAATTTAGCCTGCTAACCCCTACTTTTCTTTTCATGATTTTATATAGTTTAAAAAGCAATATTTTAAAATCTTATAAAATCCTTGTTATTTTTTCATAGTTTTTGAAGGAAAAAAAAATGCCAATGTTAAATGTATGAAAAGTCTAGAGATTCATTTCCCGCTAAATTTTCAATTGATTATATCTCAAAGATAAGGACATGGACCTGTCATTTTTTCTACTTTTTATGTTCCATTATTTATATATTATCATTTTATAAGTCTTTTAAAAATCTTGTTATTTTGAAAAATAGTAGCAAACATCCTTAACTGTTTTTTATGTTATCATTTGAAATTTCATAAATATTCCCACTAGAAATATCTTTAAAATGACAAGAATATATATTGACAGTATTTAACTTTTTGTAATAAAAAAATGCAGTGATCAACTCAATTTGAAATTCCAACTTAAATTTTTTTTAGAACAATTCTATGTTGAACATGTTCTCTGATAACATTTTTTTTGAATATATCACATATTACAACTCCAATAGTTCATATGGTTTATAACACACAATACTGATAGTACACTTATATGGTACATTGCTGTTTATGTGTCTTTTTTGGTTGTTGGCTGTACTAACATTCTATCAATACAATGTATCTACCTTTTGTTTCTTGCAGTAGATTAGTATAGCATGGCCCTTTCATGACAGCTGCATGCTTGTTATAATAATGGAGTCTGCACAAGTAACCTCCCTTTATAACAGTTATCTCCCCTAGAATGTGATGAATATAAATTACCTCCCATGTATCTTGACTTACTTCCCTCTGAACCTGATATTCATATCAACCAGTATAACACAATGTTAATTATAGCTGTTCCGAAAAAAAATGGAAGAGTGTTGGATTTCAGATTTTAAGAATTTATGAGGATAATGCTTAAATTTTATGACTTGACCATGTTGACCACCTTTCAAAAAATTGTTGAATAGAACTGTTCATTTTTTTTTTGTAATTTAACACCTTTCAGAATATTGTAGGTAATTAGAAATTGAGATTCATCACTCAATTTGTATTTAGCATGAACAACAGAAAGGGTGCCACATGTGGAGCAGGATCTGCATACCCTTCCGGAGCACACCCAGTTTTTGGTGGGGTTCATGTTGCTCAGTCTTGAGTTTTCTATATAGACCGTTGTATATCTTTTGAACTTTTTTTGTTATAGGATTGTTGGTCTCTCTTCAAATTGTGAGTTTTTAAATCCCATTGTTATCTGTCATGGATGGGTGATGTCCATTGTCCCACTATGACTTCCTCAATATGTTGTATGTCCTACTGTGGCTATTCCTCAGTATGGTGCATGTCCTACTGTGACTATTCCTCATGCATAAGAAAGGAAAAGTTTAAAAATTGTAAGCACATGAAAAATATTATTCTGATAAATAAGAATGTTGGTCGTGTATGGAAATTAAAAACAGGTTACTAAGCAACAGGACATAAATTTACAGATTGTAGAGGCCTAATTTGGACTCTTCCATTTGTAAAATATGTAACTCCATTCAGCAGTCATGATTGAACAATAGCGAATGATGGCCATGCTTTGCTCGTGAAATTAAAATAATCCAGTATAAATAATTGGCCCTTTGTTTAACAAAATTCTACTGCAAATGTTAATACGTTCGTTATTTTGAGATTTCAACACATGAAAAAAAGCAAAAATAACTTTTAGGCAAAATAACTCCATTTACAGTATTTAGAATTAAACTTATTAAGAATTTTACAAGAAAGTGTTTGGTGTCCAGAAATGGATAAAATTGTGATAAGGTCTATTGCCCTTTTATTTGAGTTAAGGTTAAATTCTACTGTAAGAAAGAAAGTTGATATGTGTATTTATACAGTGTTAATATTTTCTTGTGTATTTTACACGTTTTTGTAGTGTTCTGTTAACATGAATTGGAACACATTTTCAATAATATTAACATAACAATTAATTTTGGATTATATTAACTCACATTTGTACAATATTATGTAGAATTTTAAACATTTTAGATTTCTGAAACATTATTTGGAGAATTTATTATAGGCCTGTAATAGGAGAAATTATTTTACATATTTAATTGGAGTATAAATTATAGGCCTGTGAAGGGACAAATTATTTTACAAATTTGATTGGAGAATAAATTATAGGCCTGTGAAGGAACAAATTATTTTACATATTTAATTGGAGAAGTAATTATTGGCCTGTGATTTTTTTTACACATTTAATTGAAGGAATAATTATAGTCCTGTAAAGGCAGAAATTATTTTACACGTTTAATTGGAGAAATTATTTATTTTGGACATTTTATAATAATTCCCATATCATATCAGAAATTTTGATACCTATTTTATACACTTTGCGTATCAGGAATTACATATATCGAGAACATTCGGCCAGTAAATCTACATACATTTATTTCACAATCTGATTAAAATACTGAACATGTGTCAATGCATGGCTTACAAGGGTCTGACAAAGCTCCAATCTTCTTTCTGTTTTCAAAATTTTTGCGTCATCCAATGAAATTTCTGCCTTAAAAATTTGAAGGTATGAATCATTAATGACAGTAAAATCTAAGGGTCCTAAAGAAGTGTTTCCAATGGAAAGTAAAATGTCTGGTCCTTGTAAGTGCTGCATGCATGACAGGAGCTATATTTCAATCAGATTGATATATTTCATTAGCAGTTTTTCTGTCATTTTTATTTCATATGGAATTTTGATGGTTGTTTACAATGGGAGGACATCTCCATTTATAAATTAAATATTTATTTTTATATGAAAAAGATCAAGAATATTTTTGTCATTTTTTGACAAATTCAATTATATTTTTACATTTAAATAAAACAAATAGATTTTTTTGTCCTTTTTGACATTTTTTATGAAACTGCTGGTTTGCTTTTTTTTTCTATTTTTTTTCTAATTTATGTATTATAAGATTCTCAAGTAGTCTAATACACAAGTTGTTTTTTATATATAGATTTAATGAATTTTATTGTGTAGATCTATCTGCTGTTAAATATGTGTACATACTGACTTATAAACATAGAAATAACGAAACTTAAATAAAATTTATCAAACAAATATGTCCTTTTAATCAATCATGGCTGCTGAACAGTTGCAGGGATGAAAATATTTATAACTGGGAAGCACAAATGTTTTTACATATCTAATGTTGTTTAAATTTTAAGTGTTAATTAAATAATTAACAGATACAACATATTTAATTAACACTTAAAATTTAAATGACCTATAATGTTATTTGATATTGGAGCTACTTATTCCAGGATATTTAGGTTGATGAATTTTGAGAAATTGTGTAGTATCTATAGCATCCTTTATCATATATTTACCCAAACGCATGTTGAAATGCCCCTGTCTTATTTTTACCCTGTTGAACTAAGGCAATGGTTGTCTGATATTTTGTCCATTATGGAATTTGGCATTGATCTATGGTAATGTCAGTGAATGGTTGTATAAACTCTTGGTATAGACACTTTTCTTGTAGATATTGAAGACTGTCTACTGACTTCTAGATGTCTTGGTTTTATGTGTCTTTGTGCTAAGAAAATGTTTATTCTCTTCTTTGGGTTTAGATTATCCCTCTGGTTTGATTGTTTCAACACATTTGTATATTCTCCCCTGTTCATGTGTCATGGATTTTGATAGTGTTTTGTTTTCAATATAAAGAAAAATATTACTTCTTTAATTGTACAGCACATTTCTCTTAACACTGTGTCCTGGATTTCCAAAGTACTTGGAGATCATTATAATCATATCAGAGAAATTGAATGACACATTGATTATTTATAACTTAGTATGTCCAGTGATTTGTTTGAGAAAAATGCAATTCAATGTGTTTTGTCAAACCTACTAAAAAGGTCACCTAAATTCAGTGAAAATCTGTGGTGTTAGGTCACATTAATACAGTGAAAATCTGTGGTGTTAGGTCACCTTAATTCAGTAAAAATCTGTGGTGTTAGGTCACCTTAATTCAGTGAAAATCTGTGGTGTTAGGTCACCTTAATTCAGTGAAAATCTGTGATGTTTTGTCACCTTAATTCAGTGAAAATCTGTTGTGTTTTGTTGTGGTGTTTTGTCACCTTAATTCAGTGAAAATCTGTTGTGTTAGGTCACCTTAATTCAGTGAAAATCTATGGTGTTAGGTCACCTTAATTCAGTGAAAATCTGAGATGTTAGGTCACCTTAATTCAGTGAAAATCTATTGTGTTAGGTCACCTTAATTCAGTGAAAATCTGAGATGTTAGGTCACCTTAATTCAGTGAAAATCTGTTGTGTTAGGTCACCTTAATTCAGTGAAAATCTGTGGTGTTAGGTCACCTTAATTCAGTGAAAATCTGAGATGTTAGGTCACCTTAATTCAGTGAAAATCTGTTGTGTTAGATCACCTTAATTCAGTGAAAATCTCAGATGTTAGGTCACCTTAATTCAGTGAAAATTTGTAGTGTTATTTCACCTTAATTCAGTGAAAATTTGTGGTGTTAGGTAACCTTAATTCAGTGAAAATTTGTGGTGTTAGGTAACCTTAATTCAGTGAAAAACTGTGTTGTTAGGTAACCTCAATTCAGCAAAAATCTTTGATGTTAGGTCACCCTCTGCTTGTCCTGATGTAGTAATACCTAAGGTCAGTTTTCTCTTGGCCAGAGGATGACCTTTATATACAGGTTTGACTGTATCAACAATAGATAAGTTATATCATTCAGTGTAAAATTTCAGAACTGACGATGAATTAAATTCACTTAAACGAGCTGAATATCGTAAAAGCTGGACTGGTCCCCCAGACAGACAAACCAGAAAATTTTCATCATATGCTATGTTAGTTACACCAGGATTTTATGGAGGTCGTTCTAAATCACAGGAGAACATACGGTAAAGATGAGACTTTCACGGTGGATTTGTCATCTGCCGAAAAATTATTTATTTTGTGGATTCATTCATTTTCCTGAATACCAAATTTCGTGGATTGATGAAAAATTGCATTTTTGTGGATATTTAAAAATTTGTACTTTGTTGAACCTTTCAAATCATGGGTAACCCTTACTAACAAAATCCACGAAAATTGATATCCCACGAATAGTAATGAATGCACAGTACCTAAATTATGCTGAAAGTTAGAAGAAATGCAACACTTACTGTGTCAAGTGGGCAGAATGCAAGAATTCTCTTAATCTAGGAATTCTTAGCTAAAACCACAAATATGAAAACTAATGAGATGAAATTTTATTTGCACTTTTAATAGAAAATACTAACTTTGTTCTCAAACCATTAAAATAATCTTTCATGACTACAATGATTCCACAATAGTTACGCTGTATGTAGCCTGAAATACCCAAAGAACTGTCTGTCTTACACAGGACATTTTTCACCATTCAGTATTAGTCCCAGAAAGGAATAATTTCTTTAAAATACTCTGAATATTCAATGTGTATTAAATAAGACGTCAAGTAAGCACCCCTGTAACAAAACCGAAAGACATAGAGGGTAACATACACATTATTTTTCTTCTTGGGATCTATTTATGGGTATTTTGAGGGGCCTACAGAAGGGAGGGATTTACTAAAGAAACCTAAATAAAACAGACAAATGTAACATCATCAAAATAATACAAAACCAATACTGTTTAAATGCTCGCAAAAAAATAAAATGCTCATTGTTATATGAACATCGTAAAAATCACAGAATGATAGAGTTTATACTCCATCGTGTTGCATTTCAACTAGCATGATATACTTTAATACATTCTCTGGCTATGACAAATTCTCCCAACTGGTCTCAGTTTATTAGATGCTTTGGGAATTGGGCTTGTCACATGGTTTCACACTGTTATTCTATTGGTTCATACCACACATAGAATGTGCATGTACTCTAGAAGGAATACACAACAGTTATAGCATATTTGTTAAGAAATGAGAAATGTTCTGCATGAAAGGTTGACGGTAAAGGTTTAAGCACCTTTGGTAAATCAGAAGTTATAAATTAGCTGCATGAATGCATGATGATGGTTGAAGGTGAAAGTTTTGCACAACCTCTATAGTATTTATATTATCAGAAAGCTGGAATATTATAGTAATAAAGAATACAGACAAATATCACGGAACATGACAGTACAATTACTTACAAATCTTAATTAAAAATCAATTCACACTGCATACAAATATTTGGGGTATATAGGAATCACCCTGGTCTGTCTGTCTGTGTGTTGGTGAAGCTCTTCCTACAGGATATATATTGATGACAGATTACACAGACCTGAGGATGTGCAAAAAGTTAAAAGGGCAGATAATCAAATTTATTTACTTCAATTATACTCATAATATTGTATTGAAAAGAGTATCCATTTGTGAGTTCACTGACAGTCCTAGTTACCTATCAGATACCTAGATGTTTTCCATATTAAACTTGGTTCGTCTGTTTTCTCTAATAAAACTGGCCACCATGATCTAGGCCAATGTGCTTAAAGTTGAATTTATTCACACTAATAAGAACTTGCAAACTATATAAAAAATTGAAAGATGTGGTTTGATTGCCATTGAGACAACTATCCACCAGAAGCCATATGACATAGAAGTAAGCAACTATAGGTCACTGTACAGCCTTCAACAATGAGCAAAACCCATACCTTATAGTATGCTATAAAAGGCCCCGTAATAACAAAAATGTGAAACAATTCAAATGGGAAAGCTAGCAGCCTGATCTCAACATGACAAAATGTGAAACAATTCAAATGGGAAGGCCAACAGCCTGAACTCGAAATGACAAAATGTGAAACAATTCAAATGGGAAGGCCAACAGCCTGATCTCGAAATGACAAAATGTGAAACAATTCAAATGGGAAGGCCAACAGCCTGATCTCGAAATGACAAAATGTGAAACAATTCAAATGGGAAAACCAACAGCCTGATTTTCTGCATGCTTGGGATCTTTTGGTTATGTTGGTAATAATTTACTATTAATTCAGAGATTTTTGCATTGTTTTTATCATTTCGAAAAGTTGGACAGAATACGTTTTGAAAAAAAATTGAAACTAGCATTTAAAATTGAGATTGCATTTTCCTATACAGCTGTTTTGTGAAATCATAATCATTAATCTCACATTTGTGTCTGTTCAACATTTGGAATAATAAATGCAAGCCAACATTTCTGTATTTACAGTACGCATGCTGATGTTGATATCTGAGCTTGAGCTGTATTTACATGTCTCGTGTGTCTTGTGAATAATATTTTGATGATGTTTACAGTGTTAATTTTAAATGAAAGATATTTACTCACTTATTTTATTTTTATTCGACTATGCAAGAAAAAAAGCAATACAAGAATGCTTTTATTGTTGTTCTTCATCTTTAATTCAAATTGAGGCCTTTAACACCAAGCCAAAAGAAACATATCACTGCCAGTTTACAATGGATCCAAGCATATTTATTTAGCCAGCTGGTGTTTGTACATAATTGAAGATCGTGTTGTGACCTTAAGATTTTTTGTTAATTTGTTGTTGATTCAGCCGTTTCAATTATTGATTGCAATCATACAACAAGTAAAGTTTGAAAAACTTCAGAGCTCTGAATGTTGGTTATAATACATCTCATGACCAGTATAGTATGGCAAAATACTGATTATACAATGACTGATACCTTTATGAACCAGTATTATACAATGACTGATACCTTTATGAACCAGTATTATACAATGACTGATACCTTTATGAACCAGTATTATACAATGACTGATACCTTTATGAACCAGTAATTTATAGTCGCAGATAATTTTGAAGAGAGCTTATCTGGTGAATAAGTCAAAGATGGTAATCTCAAGAGTATATAAAAGTTATTTTAAAAGGAAGCGTCTCAAGAGTTTATAAATGATACTTTATAAGGCAGCATCTCAAGAGTTTATACATGTTACTTTGTAGGGGAGCATCCCAAGAGTATAATCATGTTACTTTATAGGGGAACATCTCACGAGTATATACATGTTACTTTATAGGGGAGCATCTCAAGAGTATATACATGTTACTTTATAGGGGAGCATCCCAAGAGTATATACATGTTACTTTATAGGGGAGCATCCCAAGAGTATATACATGTTACTTTATAGGGGAACATCTCAAGAGTATATACATGTTACTGTATAGGGCAGCATCTCAAGAGTTTATACATGTTACTTTATAGGGGAGCATCCCAAGAGTATATACACGTTACTTTATAGGTGAACATCTCAAGAGTATATACATTTTACTTTGTAGCGGAGCATCTCAAGAGTATAAAATGTTACTGCATAGGGGAAGATCTCAAGAGTATATACATGTTACTTTATAGGGGAGCATCTCAAGAGTATATAAATGTTACTGTATAGGGAAGGATCTCCAGAGTATATACATGTTACTTTATAGGGGAGCAGCTCAAGAGTATAGATATGTTACTTTATAGGGGAGCATCTCAAAAGTATATAAATGTTACTTTATAGGAGAGTATCTCAAAAGTATATAAATGTTACTTTATAGGGGAGCATCTCAAGAGTATATACATGTTACTTTATAGGGGAGCATCCCAAGAGTATATACATGTTACTTTATAGGGGAACATGTCAAGAGTATATACATGTTACTGTATAGGGCAGCATCTCAAGAGTTTATACATGTTACTTTATAGGGGAGCATCCCAAGAGTATACACACGTTACTTTATAGGTGAACATCTCAAGAGTATATACATTTTACTTTATAGGGGAGCATCTCAAGAGTATATAAATGTTACTGCATAGGGGAGGATCTCAAGAGTATATACATGTTACTTTCAAGAGTATATACATGTTACTTTATAGGGGAGCATCTCAAGAGTATATAAATGTTACTGTATAGGGAAGGATCTCCAGAGTATATACATGTTACTTTATAGGGGAGCAGCTCAAGAGTATAGATATGTTACTTTATAGAGGAGCATCTCAAAAGTATATAAATGTTACTTTATAGGAGAGTATCTCAAAAGTATATAAAGGTTACTTCATTGGGGAGCATCTCAAGAGTATATAAATGTTACTTTATAGGGGAGGATCTCAAGATGCTAATGACAGTGATGACAGAGGCAGTGCTTTCGAAGCATACAGAAAACCACAGTTATCAACGTTTGGTAAATCAGACTCCCCACATAGTCCTGTTGTATCATCAAATGGACCCATGAAAAATTACAGGTAAATATACTGGGTAGACAAATATAGATGTATATGTACACATGATATAATTGCACAAAGGCAATACACAAATAGATATATAGACATGTTAATATATATTGTTTGTTCTTCATATGGAAGAAAATGTTTTTTTTATAGAATGTAATAGAGAAAGAAATTTAAATGTATTACATAGCTAAATTTCGAAGTTTTGTGAAAGGTTCAATCAATCCAAGGGGCCTCGTTAGATGATTGGTAGATATATTTCACTAGCCTGTCATCTCTGAGGTTGTAAATTTGAATCCTGCTTATCAAGTTATGATGATATGTGTTCAACTTCAAACTTTAATTTACAATGATTGCAAGTTTTCATGCCAAGGTGGGTAGTTCTCTCTGTGTACTCTGGCTTCCCACACCAATAAGATCTGGCTGCCGTGATATAGCCAAGGTTGGTAGTTCTCTCTGTGTACTCTGGCTTCCCACGCTGATAAGATCTGACTGCCGAGATATAGCCAAGGTTGCTGAAAGTGAAATTAGACCAATCAAACAAATCAGACAATCCATTTACCTTGATTTTGAAGAGTTGTCTCTCTTTCTGAAAAAATTCATTGTAGCTATTAAAAACGCAAATTTATCATTTTTGTAACCTTTTGGCAAAAGAAAAGATAGCAAGTAGTAAAATATTCCTAATGCAAATAAAGTTACGATATACCATTTCTTAAGTTACGATATACCATTTCTAAAGTTACAATATACCATTTCTAAAGTTACTATATACCATTTATTCACAGGCACTGCGGGGGGGGGGGGGGTGGGTTGTGGTGTTTACTATCCACACTTGAACGAAAATCAGGATTTTTCGTACAAGTGTGGATAGTAAACCCCCCATTGACAGAAACAAGTGCCTGTGCATTTATTAGTGAAGTTAAGATTTGAGAAATATTTTAAATACTGTTGATTCATTAGAATTCGTTGGATACCAATTATCATGTATTTCGTGGGTAAAGGAAAACCACAAATATAAATTTTCAACGAAGTACAAATTATCTATATGTCTGTATGTCTGTATGTCTGTACGGAGACTTTGACTAAACCATCAAATCATATATCCCATCAAAATACAATTTATCCTCAATCCACAATGAATCCACAGTTGGAAACTTATATTTTTTTTTTTTTGCAATTATGACTAAACTTAAATGTAGGTCAAGGTCAATGAGGTATCAGCCTTACAATACAAAAGAAAACTAATGAAAAAATACAAATTCTGAGTAAGAATGAAGATATATGATATATTGTGAATTTCTTCGTAGATCCTTGTGCATGGATTTCTGTGAAAGTTTCCACACCTTTGTTTAATTCTGTTTTAGTAAATTTATAACCAAAAGGCCAAGGTAATTCTGGATACGGTTTTCTTAATTTGTTCTTTTTATTTCAAACCTTGCTTCATTGTAGGCCATATTAAGAAAAAATCTTTAAACTATGGTGTGACTGCTTTGGAATGGCTTTTTACAGTGAATTCTATGCATAATTATTTGTATGTTATGATGAGACAGAGTAGTTACTTTTTTATATACTTATAGATTATCAATGGTTTTTCAAACAAGAGGGTGTTTCTCTGAGCTACAATCTGTGGCCGAGAAACATCCTGAAGTTTAAAAGACCATTGATAATCTGTTTATCTCTATTTTGCCTATGACGTTGTTGATGTTTACATTGACAACGTCACATGCGCTCTTAGTTTCTGATGATAATTTTCTATCTCAAGTGAGTAGAGTGATATGAAAAATTATCACAAAAAAAGATCAAAGGAAAAATGCGAAAAATAGCGATAATCTTAAATATGACCTATATTGTCATAGAATTGAATGGTTAGTCTTGTTTTACAATAAAAAGGAATTATTGAAAAAATTTGAAAATTCCTGTAATGGTAAAATGATCAAAGTTTTAGGTCAAGGACATTTTTACAGTCCTTATTAAGACCTATAGTATAAACACAATCAGACTGGTGATGCTGGAATTGTTTAGAGACAATAATCTATGTGTTATTTTTTGGTATGATATTAAAAAAGTTATGTTTGCTAGTAGATTTAGTTATTTTCTGACTTTGCATTTGATAGGGACACTGTTGGATGGAATTCAAAGTTTGATGACATTTTTTGATTTAAATACTAGTTTGTATGCCTGCATTGTATCATCAGGTCACTTGGTAAAATCCAGAGTATAATATTTTATGCACACTAGCAGAATTAAATTTTTGAATGGAAAGATTTCCATCTGACATGTCCCACATAAATTATTTTCAATGTTTTATACTGTATTTTCTGTCTGTATAGCTCTGAACCTATATCTTCGGGTGAAGGCACTACTACTACTAACCAAAATGCATTGCAACCTCCTGTTGAGTCATGTGACAAGGCTGAAACTCCTCTCCTTGAGAATGAGCCTCAGTCTGAAACTGTTATCAGTGGGTAAGACCCCAGCAACTGTAGATATTTATAGTGTCTGAGTTGCAGAATGTTTGTGCATGTTATGTTTTGCTTTTGATGAAATAATCAGAGATTTTAATTTTAGAAGTTTGCTGCTGGCTTGAAACATTGTGAAATGACTGTATTCTGCCAAAATAAGCACTCATCTTCATGTCAACCTTATAAGTCTTAGGAAGCTACCATTTGATTTTTATGGGGGGGAGGAGGGGCTAGGCTGAAAAATTTTGTCCTGCATTTTTATTTTTAGTTGTAATCTCGGTCCTGCCTTTTTTTTATTAGTTAATCCTGACTTTTTTTTTACATAAATTGTCACCCTGCCTTTTTTTTTGCCAAGTGGCTCAACCTGCCTTTTTTTTTTTTTACTCAAAACTCCTGTCCTGCCTTTTTTTCAAATGTCACCCTAGCCCAGCCCCCCACCCCCAACCCCCATAAAAATCAAATGGTAGCTCCCTTAAAGTCTTAATCCAACATTAGAAAGGTGTCTGGACCATAACAAAAAAAAGCAGCAAAAATTTAATATTTCCATGGCAAAAAATAGATGATTTCAGATCATTAACAAAGTCATCATAAATGCTTTTTAAATTTTGATGTCAATTTTTGGTACAGATATCTAAGTCAGAATAGTCCATTCCACTTTAGCAAGTCATAATTTCCCGTCCACTTTTTTTAATTCATAATTTCCAATCCATCTTTGTAAGTCAGATATTTTCATCCACCATTACAAGTCATAATTGTCATATCCTCCTCTACAAGTCATAATTGCCCCATCCACCTTTACAAGTCATAATTGTCCCATCCACCTTTCTAAGTCATAATTGTCCCATCCATCATTACAAGTCATAATTGTCCCATCCACCTTTACAAGTCATAATTGTCTAATCCACCTTTACAAGTCATAATTGTCCCATCCACATTTACCAGTAATAATTGTCCCATCCACCTTTACAAGTCATAATTGTCCAATCCACCTTTACAAGTCATAATTGTCCAATCCACCTTTACAAGTCATAATTGTCCAATCCAACTTTACAAGTCATAATTGTCTAATCCGCCTTTACAAGTCATAATTGTCCTATCCTCCTCTACAAGTCATGATTGTCCCATCCACATTTACAAGTCATAATTGTCCAATCCACATTTACAAGTCATAATTGTACAATCCACCTATACAAGTCATAATTGTCCTATCTGCCTTTACAAGTCATATTTGTCTAAATTCACCTTTACAAATCACTGCCTTTTACTTTGTATTTTAAGCATGTTTGACTATAGAATACAGGAATTCACTTTTCCAGATTTAATACAAACTTGATAATTGCAAACTGATAATGCTATTGTATTATTAATGTTAATAGATTTTTTGTACTAGTTTTATGAGTTAATATCATTTCTGCTATTACAGTATAGCCATGAAACCTCGAATCAGATTGCTTCATTCATTTTGACCTAAAGGTTTTAAAAAAATAATAGCTTGGGATAAAGAGTTCTGCTGATAAAGTGATGTGTTGGCCTTTAAAGAACAATAATCTGTGAATTTTTACATTGTGATTGCTGCTTTTTAAAACTATTTAATACAGTGAAAACTTTCTAAACCAAATCCTTAGTAAACGGGTTACCTGTCTACAGTGAACTCTTTTTTTCTGGAAGCACAGTGCATACTCTTTAAATTTTTACAACAAAAAATTCATATATTTTTTTATAATTCTTAGACTGGAATAATTTTGCTTCATGTTATCACAAGATAATCTGAAAATAAACTTTGACTCATTTAGAAAGGTCTCACTGTCAAAGTATCATAAGTCATGTTGTGAAGGGTTCATTTAGAAAGGTTTCACTGTCACAGTAACATAAGTCATGTTGTGAAGGGTTCATTTAGAAAGGTTTCATTGTCACAGTAACATAAGTCATGATGTGAATTTGAAGGGTTCATTTAGAAAGGTTTCACTGTAATGGGTTTTAAAGATTATTTATCTGGACAAGACTTGTTAATTCTTTAATCTGTCATTCATAAGATGTAAAGAAAACTTAAATAAAAAGAGTTTTTATTATATTTTAAAATGTAGTACATAGACTTACAGTTAGCCAACATTAGTTTCATATTTTTAATGAAAAAAAAATCTATAACAAAAAGTCAAGAAATGATAACATAAACTATATATCACATTTGTTATCTTATGCAGATCAGACATTTCTGTGTGTCCACCCTTATTAAACATACATACTCTATTAGTGTTGGTAAATCCTTTGAATTGACAAATTGAAAAGAAATTATGGTAGTGTGTTGTATTAGTATTGACAATGCTATGCTTAAATTTGTAGGAACAATTTACAATCAATTTTATTTCAATAGAAATATATTTTTATGCCCCTGTCATGATGGAGGGGGCATTGAATTTTACCCTTGTCCGTCTGTACATATGTACATCCATACGTCCTGAAATTGGTTTCCGTTCTGTAACTTTACTTTGCCTCAACCAAATTTTATGAAACTTATACACAATGCTAATTACCTCAAAACACAGGTAAAGTTTGAATTTCGGTGGCGTCACTTTTACCATTCTAGAGTTATGCTCCTTTACAAATGGAAAAATTGCTGAATTTTTTCGTTTCCGTTCTCTAACTTTAGTTTGCCTCAACCAAAAGTTATGAATCTCATACACAATGCATATTACAACAAAACTCAGATCAAGTATGAATTTGGGTAGCGTCACTTTTACCGTTCTTGAGTTATGTCCCTTTATAACGTAATATGCAAGCGGGGGCATCATCTGTGTCCCATGGACACATTCCCCATTTATTATTTTAAAATATTATTGATTGTTTAGAAATTCTTGTTGCAATGATTAAAAAATGATTGGCAGGGATGAAAATGAAAAGAAGATTTTATCTTTTAATTGTTAGATGTCTGAATATATCAAATGAAAGGACAGTTGTTATTGAATACTGTAAATTTAGAAATCATTGCATTTTAAAGAAAGAACAAAAATGCGAATATAATTATCATTTATTAATGCAAATATCTGCACATAGATTATGAGTTCGCATGATTTGCATTAATAAAAACCTCACAATAATTTCTGAATTTACAGTAGCTTTTGTGTAAATTGACATTTGTGTATCATTACATTGTTTTAATTATGTTTTCTTATAGAAAAATTACTTTTCTATGTCAGTGGCCAAATATTTGAGATTTGGTACAGTTAAACAGTATTGGGGGTGGGGATATTTTTTTATTAATGTAATCTATGTAAATTTATGAAGATTTATTACGTTGAGAAAGGAAAATAATTTTTGTTAATATTATTTTTTAGGTTTAAAAATGATCATCAGCTGGATGAGAATCATACAGTGGTTGCCACGGCGAGGGGGTCATTTGACCATCAGGGAGGAGTTTTGGAATCTCCAGAGACAGGGGTCAGTATTGTCATACCAGCTGGTGCCATCCCAGAAGGTGTACAACAGGAAATCTACTTCAAAGTCTGCCGTGATAATAATATACTTCCTCCATTAGATAAAGAAAAGGGTAGGTAACTCCTTATAAAATATAGAGAATGAAAAAAAATCATAGATTTACCATGGATTCAGTATTATTTGTTGGGTAACAACTTTCGTTAATTTTGTGATAGTGGCAAACCACAAATTTAAATGTCAATATTTTCTTTGTGCTTGGTTGGAAAATTTAGGCTAAACCATGAAATGAAGTATCCACGAAAATAGGGGGTGGAGGGGTCATTAAATTTTACCCTTGTCCATCTGTCTGTACATCTGTATGTCCAAAAATTGGTTTCCATTCTCCAACTTTAGTTTGCCTCAACCAAATGTTATGAAACTTATACACAATGCTTATTACCGCAAAACACAGATCGAGTTTGAATTTGGTGTTGTCACTCTTACCGTTATGGAGTTCTGTCCCTTTACAAATGAAAAAGTTGAGGAATTTTTCGTTTCCGTTCTCTTACTAAAATTTGCCTCAACCAAATGTTATGAAACTTCTACACAATGCATATTACAACAAAACTCCGATCAAGTATGAATTTGGGTAGTGTCACTTTTACGGTTATTGAGTTATGTCCCTTTATATTATGCAAGCAGGGGCATCATCTATGTCCCATGGACACATTCCCCATTTGATTTTTAGGTGCCTTTGACTCCGATCGTAAATGACTAGGATGGTCAGTTTTCCTGCCAAAAGTCTGTGACCTCCATTCAGATAAAAACATTAGATTATGCTTTGTGTTTTATTTTTCAGCATCTTCAAAATATACAGAAATTCTCTATTTGTGCACACAAAGTAATGAACACATGTTTAGTTTATATGTTTTTTTTTTACAGGTGAGACCTTATTATCCCCCCTTGTGATGTGTGGGCCTCATGGTTTGAAATTTCTACTACCAGTTGAATTACAGCTCCCCCATTGTGCCTCAGTCAATCCAGAGAGTTGGTCATTTGCTTTAAAGTCTAGCGATTCTCCATCAGGTGAGTAATTGCTCCTTAAATGTGCCACAGTGAGTTAACATCTCCCCCATTGTGCCTCATTCTATCCATAGAACTGATTAATTGCTTTAAAGTCTAAGTGATTCTTCAGGTAAAGAACTATTCCCTTGTGTGTAACAACTTCCCTATAGTGCCTTGGTGAGTAATTATTGCCACAATCTTGATTCAATGAGTTATAACCACCCCAGTTGTGTTTCAGTGAGTAACTACTCTGGGACTGTTTTACCACTTCTAATATCTCCTCTTCTTTGAACCTCACTTGAAAAGAGTTCATTAACAATGCCTCTGTCAGTTTAAAAGATATAGAAACACCATCTAGTAATAAATGTCTCATTGTAAGTCTTTCAAAAATAATAATTTTTAGTTACTGTGGATTCATTTATTATCATGGGTATCAATTTTTATACGACCGCAAAAAAATTTTGAGGTCGTATATTGGTATGACGTTGGCGTCGTCGTCGTCGTCGTCGTCGTCGTCTTCCGGCGTCGTCGTCCGAATACACAATGGTTTTCGCACTCTAACTTTAGTTTAAGTGAATGGATCTCTATGAAATTTTACCATAAGGTTTAATACCACAATAGGAAGGTGGGGATTGATTTTGGGGGTTATGGTACCAACAGTTAAGGAATTAGGGGCCAAAAAGGGGCCGAAAATAAGCATTTTTGTAACTTCCAGACATAACTTGTGTGTTAGCATATGGATCTCTTTGACATTGTACCACAAGATTCCATATCACAAAGGGTCAATGCTGGGATTGATTTTGGGGTTAATTGCCTCAAAATTTTAGGAATAAGGGGCCAAAAGGGGGCAAAAAACAAGCATTTTTCTAGTTTCATGACAATAAATTGTGTGTAAGTGTATGGATCTTTCTGAAATTTTACTACAAGGTTCCATTTCACAAAGGGAAAGCTGGAATTGAGTGTTGTGGTAATTGCCCAAAACGTTTAGTAATAAGGGGCCTAAAAAGGGGTTTAAAATAAGCATTTTTTAGTTTATAGACAATAACTTGTGTTCAAGTGTATGGATCTCTCTAAAATTGTATTACAAGGTACCATACCACAAAGGCAAGGCTGTTATTGAGCTTGGTTTGGGGGGAAAGGGGGGTGGGGGTGATGAATCATAAGGGGGGTGGGGGTCAAAAAAGGGGTAATTTTTTTTTCTTTTTTTTTTGTTTAAAATTTACATTTTAAGTTAGTTATTTTTTATCACGAAGAGAAAGTAGGAATTGAGTTTTGGGGTTAATTGCTCAAACATTTATGAATAAGGGGCCAAATATTGGTCGAAAATAAGGATTTTTTTAGTTTGCAACAAAAACTTGTGTTCAAGTGTATGGATCTCTGTGAAATTGTATTGCAATGTACCATACCACAAATTGGAGGTTGTGATTGAGGTGGGGGATGATGAATCAAAAGGGGGTTGAAAAAATGTGTGGGGGTAGGATTTTTTTTTTTCCTTTTTTTTTCTTTAAAATTTTCCATTTAAAGATGGTTGTTTCAGATTTATATATGAAAGAAAATAATAATGATACGGTTATATATCATGAGGAATTGAAATTTAAAATTATGTATATTGGAAATTTAGGTTACATTGGAAAGTAATAATTGGCTTTGGGGGGGGGGGGGGGGTTGGGTTGTTATGGCTCTAATGTTTAAGGAATAAGGGGAAAAAAGGTTAAAAAACAAGGGTTTCCATTTTAATAGACAAATAATTGAGTAAAGAACATTATTTAAAAGCAGTGTAAGGTTGGTAATTCAAACTCATTTAAATATCTCATCTACACTGCTTTTAAATTATGTAAATTGGAAATTTGCCAATAACTTTATTGTTAATAAATGCATTGGAAATTTGCCAACAATTTTAGTGTAATAAACTTCATTGGAAATTTGCCAATATAAAATTTTGCTGATGAAGGTTTTTTGTTTACCTTTAGCCTTGACTATGAAGTCATTTTCTATTTTTATAGCCTTATGATGTAGTTGAATTATTTAATACTTTTATGATGTGTTTAAATGGGGTTTTATCATGTTTATGGTTGCAAATTTATTGTTTTAGTATAATAAACTCCATTTAAAATTTGCCAATAAAAAAAATTTTTGTTTATTGTTAGCTATGATTATGATGTCATTTTCTATTTTACTTTTATGGTTGTAAAGAAATTTTTATTTTTAGATATTACTGTTAAATGATGCTGATTAAGGTTTTTGCTATGTTTAGCCATGACTATGATGTCATTTTCTATTTTAATATCTGTTATGGTGTATTTAAATGGGCTTTTATGGTTACAAAGGAATTTTATTTTTAGATATTACTATAAAATGTTGCTGATGCTGATTAAGGATTTTGTTTATTTTTAGCCATGACTATGATGTCATTTTCTATTTTAATACCTTTATGATGTAATTTCCATTTTTAGATATTACTGTTAAATGATGCTGATTAAGGGTTTTTTGCTATGTTTAGCCATGACTATGATGTCATTTTCTATTTTAATATCTTTATGATGTATTTAAATGGGCTTTTATGGTTACAAAGGAATTTTATTTTTAGATATTACTTTAAATGATGCTGATTAAGGATTTTTGTTTATTTTTAGCCATGACTATGATGTCACTTTCTATTTTAATACCTTTATGATGTATTTAAATGGGCTCCCATATATTTAGATTTTTGATTATTTATACATGTTACCAAATTGGTCCACATTGAACAAAAACGGTCCAAATTTCAACTTTATTACATTACATCAAACATTGAATTCTACATATTCTTTGATATATTGAAATTAACAAACAATTTAGTTTATGGATATTCCACCATAATAGGTAAAATAATTTTTTTCCAGTTCTTACACCACATTCATCCTGTGTCAGAAACCTATGCTGTGTCAAATATTTAATGACAATCCAAAGTCATAGCTGTATCAAGCTTGAATTTTGTGTCCATACTTGCCCCAACTGTTCAGGGTTCGACCTCTGCGGTCGTATCAAGCTGCGCCCCAGCGAAGCATTTTATTGTGGATTGTGAAAATCTTGCATTTTTGTGGATATTTGATTTCATGGTTATGCTGATCTCTGCATACAAAGCCTATAGAAAATTTGTAATTCGTTGAACATTTGAATTCGTGGTTCACCTGTACCCACGAAATCCACGAAATCTGGTATCCAACGAATAATTATGAAATCCACAGTACTCACTTATTCACCAATTTCAATATGAGATGTCATAAATCAACCAATTTAACATCTCCTCTTTGAACCTCACTCACCTCTGTCATGTGATGTTGAATCAACCAATCTAACATCTCCTCTTTGAACCTCACTCACCTCTGTCATGTGATGTTGAATCAAGCAACCTAACATCTCCTCTTTGAACCTCACTCACCTCTGTCATGTGATGTTGAATCAACCAATCTAACATCTCCTCTTTGAACCTCACTCACCTCTGTCATGTGATGTTGAATCAACCAATCTAACATCTCCTCTTTGAACCTCACTCACCTCTATCATGTGATGTTGAAAGCCAATGAATCATAAGAACTAAACCAATTTCATTGTTGTCTTTTAATTTACAATTGTTTGTTTATGTTATGTCCCAAAAAAATAATTTAGAAAACAATAGGCAAAACACAAATTTTATTTCTTTCTTGTCAGCCCAATTACTGTGTATACATCATTAATTTAAACGTGACTTTTACAGGTCAGCCAACAAATAAAAGCAATCTTTACCCTCAGTGCTCACAAGCTCTGATTTTTTTTTATAGGTCAGCCAACACAGTGGCAGAATATGAACTTGGCTGGTACAGAAGGAGTAACACAAGGACGAGTCGGTAAAAGTAAAGTCTCTGTACTAGTAGATCATTTCTGAACAAGACAATCATTAATGGAGGAACAGACGCTTTGTTAAAAGTGAAAAATACAGCTGATTTCTATAAATAGATCATGATGCAAACTGCTTATATTTCAGTCCCTCCCTCATAAAACATTCAAATTGAGGTAGGGAATCCCTTCTATAAAAAAACATAATGATTGAGGAAGGGAATCACAGAATTTAGGAAAAAAATAGTTAACAATTTGATTAAAAGCAATTATAAAATTACAATACCATGTGATTAGTGTGTGAGGAAGGGGAGATAATTCATATAAAACACATGATTGTTGTATGAGAAAGGACAATGTGATTTTTGTATGAAGAAGGGGAGATCACTCTTATAAAACAAATACGATTTTGAATGAGGAAGGGGCGATCACTCTTATAAAACAAATATGATTGCTGTATGAAGAAGGGAGATCACTCTTATAAAATAAATATGATTGCTGTATGAGGAAGGGGAGATCACTCTTATAAAACAAATATGATGGCTGAAAGAGAAAAGGGGAGATCACTCAAATAAAACAATATGATTGTTGTATGAGGAAGGGGAGATCACTCTTATAACACAAATATGATTTTTGTATGAGGAAGGGGAGATCACTCTTATAACACAAGTATGATTTTTGAATGAGGAAGGGGAGATCACTCTAATAAAACAAATTGATTGCTGTATGAGGAAGGGACTGTTATAAGATGTAAGGCAGCTAGCAAATAGAGAGGAACATACCAGTTTGTTTCCTAGTCAATGTATTATAATATTGTGTAAATTGTATTCTACATTGCTATCATACATTTAAATATAACCAAATAATTTTAGAATTTAAAGATATCTCTATGTCAACAGTTTATTTTTTCAAATAAGTCTTATTGCGACAAGGGATCTATTTGGGAATATATTTCACATGCCATTGCTGTATTTGTCGTAACAAATATTCCATAAGTATAAAAAATTTCTGAACCTTGTTTTTATTTAAAGTCCTTTTTGTTGTTTTTTTTTGCATTCCCTTATTGTGTAGTACTAACCTTACAGAAACAAAAAATAAGGGATTATCTATATGTTGTTTTTACCAGTATAATATGTAATGACATTCACATTTCAACTAAAAGTGCCAAAATTGAAAATGTCATTATAAACTTTTTTTCAACAGATGAAAACTGTTTATAAAATGAAATTTTTGTTCATCATTGTTTATTTTGTAATGAAATATTAGATCAACAACGTTTATTATGTAATGAAATTTGAGTTCGACATTGTTTATTATGTAATGAAATTTAAGTTAAACAATCTTGATCATGTAATTAGATTTAAGTTCAAAGATTTTATACAGAATTTAGATTATTTAAATATGTGTATAATGGATATCAATTTGTAAAGAACTTACCTTTAGTAATGGATATCAATTTGTAAAGAACTTACCTTAAGTAATGGATATCAATGTGTGAAGAACTTACCTTTAGTAATGGATATCAATGTTTAAAGAACTTACCTTTAGTAATGGATATCAATGTGTAAAGAACTTACCTTTAGTAATGGATATCAATGTGTAAAGAACTTACCTTTAGTAAGTGAATTGTTATTGAGGTTGTGAAGACTGTTTTGCTTTTCATTATTTTATTTCTTGGTTGTGTTTATGAAAAGATTTGATCAAGAAATTATTTTATTTCTTGGTTGTGTTTATTAAAAGATTTGATCAAGAGATTTGTTTAATATTTGTTTGTTTTTTATATATGACTTCCATTTTCCACAGTATTTTTTTTATATTACACCATATTCCCAATACATACATTATTATTTTGCCTCATTTCAGAAAGATTTCAGGGGTTGGGAGTTATCTCCCCTTATCATCAAAGCAAACAATACTCAGTTAAAGAACAAATACATAATTTGCAGCAATACATTTTGTAATTCAGTTTTTATAGTTTATAGGAACAGTATATTTAAACCCATAGCTAGATGATTTATCTATATAAGGGCTATTCCATTAGAATGGATTTAGGGGGTAGCGTTTATTTAAGGGCTATTCCATTAATTTGGCATTAAAATGAATGTAAGGAGTAGGAGGGGAAGTTTTATGAGGGTCCAGATGGGGTTTACAGAGTAGAGAAAAATTAACAAAACATGCAGAATAAAGGGCAAAAAATATAAAGAATAGAGAAAAATAGGCAAAAAAATAAAAGAATAGAGAATAATGGTGTGCTAAAATATAAAGAGTAGAGAGTAACAGGCAACATTTATAATGAATAAGAGAAAAATGGCTTAAAAAATCAAAGAATACAGAATTCAAGTACCCTCCATCCACACCATCTTTTATTTAGCTTGGTACATGGGTTGTGTGTCCTTTCTTTATGGTTGTATATCCTTTTGATGTATGTAAAATAACAAAAAGAAATATCTTGGTTGGGGAGAGATTTTGAAAGTCATTTCCTACCCTCTCAAATCAATTTTAAAGGAATAGCCCTAAACATAGGAAATAGCATATTCTCACCCCTTCGTTTCTCCATATAAACATGCCCCATACTTATTATTTGGCATTTTTGCCCATTTGATATTGTACATCTTCACTCTGTATATTATTTCTATCAGGAGAACTTAAAATGTATTAATAAATCATATATTTGCTTTATTAATTCAAAATTACATGTATTTTTACTTATTAATATCCCACAAAGTAAAACCATATCTACCATAGTGTGATTTTTTTTTAAAGAAGACCATAAAATATAGGTACACATTTTGTGCTTTACAATTCTGATCAGAAAATACTTTATGGTAGACTAGATGTTACATATACGAGAAACAATGTCCTTGTGTAAACATGGTTAACATCCATAACAGAAGCATGTAAAGTTGGGGATATGTAAAATCTTTAAATTCCGAAATTGTTTTTTGCATTTCTTTTTGGGATTTTTTTAAATCTTTGAAAATTAGAGACAAATTATAGTGATTTTATGAAAATTTCATCAAATTTTTATTTTTTTCGCAATACCTATCCTGTTGCAATTTTCAAATTGAAAATGTACATCACAAAAATTTCTGAATTTACAATGTGATCAATTTGTTTGTGCCAAAGAATTAAAGTAGACTGCTGTTTATATGTTGCATTAAGAATGGTAGATATGTACAGTGTATAGAGAAAACGTTTTAAATTGTAATACTTTTTTTTTAAATTGTTTTTTATTTTCAAATATTTTACTACTGGAATATCTTTGCATAATGAATTGCTGAATGTGTTATTGAAAAGTAAAACTTTTCATTTAAACTATTGATTTAAATATCTATATTTGCTAAGAATTCAATATTATGCAAGAATAACAAATTTATGAGTTAAGCCAATTCTCTCTTAAATAGTTATTTCAAGGGACATGATTTACTTTTAATCTTTTGATCTTGGTCCATTCTGTGCTTTATATTAGTAGGCCTAGGCATAGAACAACTGATTGCAACTTTGATAATTTATGTAAACAATGAACCAACTGACCAGATTGCGTAATATCATCATAGAAAAAGGAATTTTCGTTTTCTGGCACTTTGCAACACAGACCATATCAACCCTCATAAAAAAGTTTGGATGGTTGCATTTAACTCAAGTTTTGTCAGTTTAAAAAAACCCTCTTTTATGTGTTTTCTGTCAGTAAAAGATGAAAAATTACTCCATTCCTCAGTAGTTTCTGAAAAAGAAAGCCCATAGAACCAGGGGACCAGTCCACTATTTTACATAAGGGGAGATAATAGTATGAGTTTTTTATTTTAAAGAACTATCTACTTATTGTTTTGAATTCACCCTTTAAACAAGGTTATAGATAAAAACTGAAAAGTTGTTGATTTTTGGTAGGTTGAATATAAAAACATGAAAATCAAACCTTGTTCTAAGAAAATTCAGGAATTTTAAAATGTGAAAATCTGTTTACACCTGAGTATGCAGTTAACTTGATTTAATTAGCTCTAAATTGTATTGATTTATTCTATGCATTTTTAGGAACATTCATAACAAGAATTGATTTATTTTATGCATTCTTATGAATATTCATAACATGTATTGATTTATTCTATGCATTCTTATGAAGACTTATAACATGTATTGATTTATTCTATGCATTCTTATGAATATTCATAACAGAATAATTTATTTATATATTATAATATATACCTGCCAACCATTTGGATCTTTAAAGTGAGAGACATATTTTGATTCAAAATTTTGTATTAAGATTCAAAGTATTTAAACATTTCAACACAAACAGATGATAATAACCTATACATGGATTTGATAAGTTAAAACAACATTCTGAATGACCTTCGATGTCTTTAAAATACAAATAAACATTATTTGAGCAAAAAGTGAAAATCACTCACATACAATACTATCAAGACTACTCAAATGATGAAAGAGGGAGAAATTTTCAAAAAAGTGATAGGTCAAAATGGAGAGATTTTAAAGGGAAAAGAGATAGTCTCCTCACAAGATCTGGTGCATTGGCACGTAACATAATTTCTTTATTGAAAAAGATAGTACTAATTTGAGGTTAAGATAATGTACATATATAATGATCAAAGTAATTATTTCAAGGTTGTATTGTGTGACTTAGCAACACATGTCTGCTATTATGAACAAAATCTAAAATGAATTTTGATTGGTTGTTATTCTGTTGTTACCATGGTTGTGCTTTATACAAAAGTTTATATTTCTTACAAGTTTTACATTTAAGTGATATTATATTAGTTATAACACATTGTAAATAGAGTTTTATACAAAGAAGATAAAGTTTTATTGTTTCACTTTATAATATGATACCAGTTAGAATCCTTATACTTATTTTTTGGGGGTTAATAGACCATTTTCAGGTTACTACCTTTGATCCGGAGTATATTATTTTTCTACAGGTTACTTACTCTGTGGTAGGACATTATGGTACTTGGTTAATTAATAGCAAGGAAAAGAAGTAAAATCAATCTTTCAATCGGTGCAATTTTTGGGGAAAATTAGCTTTTTTCCAATGATTTTGTCATGTATAGAAAACAAAACAATGAATTGTTTCCCAAAATTGGCATAATTACACCAGGATTCAATTCTAACAATGATTTACATTAAATTTATTTTTTCTACTCACAAAAACACAAAAATAAATTGCTTATTGAAGTAAGAGTAATTAAAGTACATGTCCTGTATCTTAATTTTCATTTATAGTCAGCTGGGAATAGTATAGTATGCTAACAATATATTATGTCCCAGTTGTCTGTACAGTGCGACTGTTTGTCAACCATTTTCAGGCCCTGCCAACTAGATCATGGTCCAGCGACTGAATTAATAAGCAATGTTGCTGTCCATCAGATTGTCCTTTTTAGGGGAGACATATCTCTGTGTCAACAGTTTATTTAAGATCCCTAACTGGTGTTATAATTATTATAAAGTGTGATTTGTACATCTATCCATCATTATTCCTATCCAAACCATTGTTAACTACATATTATCATGATTAATAAAATTTATAAAGATATTATTGTTCTTCTTTTTACCAGACTCCCCCTCCTCTTGTCTTAGATTTAAAGCATTTATATCCATGGTTGCAATGAATTACCATGATTACCTAATTGCAAAATCTTCCCTTGTAAAGTAAATCTTGTAATTTCACTCCTTTGACATCATACAACAAAAGGTGTTGTCAAGTGTTTATCAACAAAGTTGTATCTAAGCAAAGTGCAAGAGAACCCATAGAGAAAGTTCTAGTTTTATTACATCTAATGTTGCCAACTTTTACGTCAATTGGTCTCTGGTGGATAGTTGTCTCATTGGTTATCATATTACATCTCCTTATTTTATATTAGCACATTCATAAGTAAAGTTGCTGTTTCTTTTCAGGTACTTGCTAAATATTTTTCAACATTGAAAATACTTGTTATTCTTCTTACTGTTAAAAAATAATGTTGGTCTACATTCATATCACATATTATCTTATCTACCTTATACGAGACAACTATCGACCAGAGACTTAGATGTTAGCAACTATAGGTCACGGTACAGCCTTCAACAATTAGCAAAATCCATATAGAGTGGCTAGAAAAACAAAGGATATGGGGTATCCATCCATGAGATAAAATAAGTACATGCATAGCAACAATTACACAAAAAGCAAAGGAACAGCCCCTTTTATTGCTGTTCTTCAGAGTTAATCTGAATTCAACACCGTTTTTTTTAAAGTGGAGGTATTTTTTCATCTTTTCACCATGTTATCGTCCATCCGTCTTCAACTTATGATGTTGTATTCCATCCTTAGGGAACAATCATTTAGCTTTGAGAGGGGTTATTGCTATTTGTCATTCTGAATTTTTTTTTTGTATTTTTCAGTAATTTGGAATCCCCGACAGGCCCCATGTGATGCAGCTTCAGCAAGTCAAAAAGTCCCTATGTTCACACGATTAAACTGTTTGGACTTTCAGATCTTTACAAACATTTAATTACTTTATTGTACTGTCTTCTGATGTTTACAAAAGCACCAATGCTTAAAACATCATCATGTCCAATATCAGGTTTTTTATAATTTCTATTTACAGTTGTATACCTCAATTAAAGGTGCATTAGAGACCCATCTGTGTTGTAGGGATATATTATGTGATCTGTTGGTGTTCCTTTGAACAGATATATCATGTTAAGGAGGGGTATTTGCGAAAAATACCAGTCGAGAGAATGTTAAATTTCGCGAGCCGTAAGGCGAGGGAAATTCATTCTCAAATACCCCTCAAGAACATGCTATATCTGTTTAATTACACCGAATGTTAACATTCAAAAACGCATTGATGATCGTGACGTTACATTAAGCGTCCAGTCAGATAGAGTATTTTTTGGCAAATACCATGGCAGAGAGGGTAAAAAAGGTATATCCTTTTTGCATATACCCTGGCGGCGTTAAAAAATGAACGACATTCATTTGATAACAGTAAATTGGTGAAAAATACACTGGCTATCAACCAATCAAAACCCAGGATTCTTACATAAGGTGTAATTATGTGTTAAATACTACGGTAGTTATTGGATTGCTGGCTAATTGATGTTTATCCATATGGTTCCTTTCATGATAGAGAACATAAATACTGCAATTAAAAACAATTTAATATTCCAAATATATCAATAGTATTTAACAGTATTTACAATATAAAAATAATCTGTAGCATGAAAGACATAGCTATAAATAAATGGCACAATAACAATAATCAAGGTCTGGATTGGGAGGACCTCTTGTCTCTATTCTTCAAATTTTTAGAACATTTTCATTGGGTTATTTTTTGGTTCATTTTTCCTGGGAATTTTATACTAATATCTAATTAGCATAATAGTCTCAGATTTGTCTTTTTTATTTATATTAAACACTCCATAAATCTCTATTTTTTTACTATGTTTTCTTATTTTTCTCTATTCTTTGTTTTTTGGCAAATTTTCTCTATTTAATAATTTCTGGGCTCATTATTCTCTATTCTTTATACTTTTACAAACTTTTATGTATTCTTCATTTTTGCCCATTATTCATTTATCTGTAGCCCCCATTCATACCCCCAATAATATATATTATGTATATGTATATAATTTTGATTTCTCCTTAAAATCAACTTGTTAATAAAATGTTTCTTAAAATAACCTATGAACTTTGTCGACCACAACCAAGGATTTGTATTATACTATACAAATACTTGCCACAACACAGACAATTTTCTTTAATGTCAGAACGAGGTTCCTATGATCACCAGGTGATACATTTAAAAAAAAATCAGTTGATGAATAAAAGGAGAGGTGGGTGTATATGAGTTTACTAAGGATTAACTCCATATGAAGGTGCTCCTACTTACAGGAGGCTAATACATAGAAGAAGAAAAATATGATAATGAAATAGCAAACCAACAATACAAAAAAAAAAATTTCTTTTTACACTGCACCTGATTACTCAAAATTCATCTGATTTGAACCTTGAAAATCAGTATTAAAAGAAAAACTCGCATGAAATGATGTATTTTTTGGGGCATACAATCTTTTTCATTGAAAACTTTAAAATAATTTATATATAAATTGCAAAAATACTAAATTATTGAGTTAAGTACATTAATATAACAAGGTCACATTCAAATAATACAACTGGTTCTCATTACTGACAAAATAAAACAACAAAATGTATGGATTTTTAAATATTATGTATTGCTGACTATTATTTTGGTAGTCCATAAATTTTTTTTAACAACAGATACAGGTATTTATACAATTCTCAACTTTTAATAGGAAAGAAAAAAGAAGATAAAGAAAATTTAGACATCACTCCAAATCTAACACAATAAAATATATAGACTGTTTATTTTTTCAGTGGAGGTTGTTGGTGATGGATGTGATCTGTTGTTAAGGATGTTCGCTCCTCTTGTTTTTGAAATTTTGCCAGATATTCGGAATTCTCTGGTTTTATCCATGTAGTGCCATTAAAAATTTTGCCCACTAACCCCTACTTTTCTTTCCATAATTTGATTGCATATAGTTTAAAATGTCATCTTTCAAAATCTTATAAAATCCTTGTTATTTTTTCATTGTTTTTGAAAGACAAAAGGTGTCAATGTTAAATGTATGAAAAGTCTAGAGAGAATCATTTCCCGCCAGATTTTCAATGGCTTATATCTCGAAAACAAGCACACGAACCCATCATTTTTTTCTGCTTTTTTAGTTACTTTATTTATATACTATCAATTTATAACAGTCTTTTATAAAGCTTGTTATTTTGAAACAGAGTAGCAAACATCCTTAAGTCTTATATGTATCATGGTAAATCCTGCTAATAAAGTATTCTATTTTGTTTATTATACTTATACGAAAATTAAATAGTCTAATTATATATTTTTTTTTCTCAAAACATTGAAAGGAAGTCATAAAATGAATTAAATTTCAATCATAAAAACAAAGCTGGGACCAATAGATAAATTAGTCCCAGTCAAAGTGATTAAAATACTATTCCTTTTTGCGATTAATCATAAATGGTCAATTTTTGCACAGATTAACTCCTGTAATGAATTAGGTGGGGAATGAAAAAAAAAATCTTAGGCCTCCTTTAAAACAAGTCTGATTACAGAACTGATTATACATAATACACATTTATGACTTTTTAGGCCAGTTTTTATATAACATAATACTAGTTGACAACAATCCAAACACACCACTCCATGATCTGGACAGTTTCCCTGCCCATAAAATCCCAGGAGGGCACCAGTTTATAGCATTCATAAAATCACATGAAGCCTGGAGAAGTGCCAGTCGTGCTTCCAGTAAGTTGGCTTTCAGTGCTTTGGCTTCTGTTGATGTACTCTCCATGGATTCTTCTCTGTAAGAAATTTGAATAGTACAAAAATTGGAAAACAGTAATTTCTGCAAAAATAGGAGGTGGATACCAAAAGGACAATAAAACATCATGAGTCAAAGAGAACTGACAACACAATGGCAAAAAAAAAAAAAAAAAAAAAAAAACAGTCTATAAAACACTACATAGAAAACTAGAGACTTAGCTACAGGAAAACAACCGTCTATAAAACACTACAGAGAAAACTAAAGACTAAGCTACAGGAATACAACAATCTATAAAACACTACATAGAAAACTAGAGACTAAGCTACAGAAATACAACAATCTATAAAACACTTCATAGAAAACTAAAGACTAAGCTACAGAAATACAACAGTCTATAAAACACTACATAGAAAACTAAAGACTAAGCTACAGGAATACAACAATCTATAAAACACTACATAGAAAACTAAAGAACAATCTATAAAACACTACATAGAAAACTAAAGACTAAGCTACAGGAATACAACAATCTATAAAACACTACATAGAAAACTAAAGACTAAGCTTCAGGAATACAACAGTCTATAAAACACTACATAGAAAACTAAAGACTAAGCTACAGGAATACAACAGTCTATAAAACACTACATAGAAAACTAAAGACGAAGCTACAGGAATACAACAATCTATAAAACACTACATAGAAAACTAAAGACGAAGCTACAGGAATACAACAATCTATAAAACACTACAGAGAAAACTAAAGACTAAGCTACAGGAATACAACAATCTATAAAACACTACATAGAAAACTAAAGACTAAGCTACAGGAATACAACAGTCTATAACACACTACATAGAAAACTAAAGACTAAGCTACAGGAATACAACAATCTATAAAACACTACATAGAAAACTAAAGACTAAGCTACAGGAATACAACAATCTATAAAACACTACAGAGAAAACTAAAGACTAAGCTACAGGAATACAACAGTCTATAAATCACTACATAGAAAACTAGAGACTTAGCTACATGAATCCAAGCAAACACGGGGGTGATCGCAGGTGCTCTGTAACGATAAACACAACAATTGGATAAAGTACCATCATAACTACACCAAAACCACCAATAACAAACTTAGAGAAACGTACAAACAAATATATCAACCATGAAACAACACATATTCCAGGTAGCCTGTATTGATAAAGGCACTTGAACTAGTATTGCAATGCACAAACTCTCCCTTTTCCTTTCTTTATAGTTATACATAAAGTGATATGGTATAAATAGACAACTGTCTAGCAGAAACCAACGAAGGAAGATGTAAACAATTTAAGGGCACTATATAACCTTCAACTATGAGCAACACCCATATAAGAAGCTTAAAAACCTCAGCACAACAAAATGTGAAACAATTTAATAAAGAAAACCAATGGTCTGATTCATACTTAAAACATTAATGGCACAGACATCAACCATGACAACCACTGAATTACAGGCTCCGGACTTGGGACAGACATATAAGAAATGTGGCTTGATAAATATGTTTTAGAGCGTACAATTCTCCCCAAATAGCTTGGACAATGGTGTAACAGCAAACCATAAGAACAACAAAATATCAGTTGGAAAAGGCTTCACTCATTAAAGCGGCATTAAGCACATAAAAAAACAAAAAAAAAACAAAAAAAGACAAAAAAACAATGTACAGATATAAGAGTACCTGCAGTTACTTAAAGCTAGTTTAAAACTAATTCCAATTCATTGAACTCTTAATGAGAAGCTTATACACATGACTAATACACATTATTTTGATATGATTTTGATGTTTTGTTACAGGTACTTTTGTTTTTCTTCTATTTTTCCTTATCATATGTTTTTGTTTGATTTCTGTTTTAGTTATTTTTATGTAAAAAACATATTTTCCCGGTTTGTTATTGCTGATTTTTGTTATTTAAGGATTGTCTACAAGGACAAATTAAATCTCATTGTCTAGTAAATAATATACTCTTTTATTTAAGGTTGAATGTTCACACAGAAACAACTTAAATTTCAACTTGATTATATATTCCATATCTATTGCAATGCTTTTTTGTATTTGTTTGTCTTTTGTACTTTATTTGTTTGTTTGTTTGTTATTTGTTGAAAGTATTCTTTAATGTCTCAGTATAACATTAGTTCTTACCTTTCATCAGTAGACTCCAAATATTGCTGCTTCTTTATTTGTTTCAATTTTCTACTTATTAAATTCATACTAACCAATTGTCTGAAATTATATACATATATTGCATTATCTCATACACCATTGTTATCCTAACCCTGATCCTAATTCTTACCCTAGGCTAAACCTTACTCCAACCCTATTAAACACCATAGGTATTTGGGGAGAGGACAATTTTTTTTTTGGCCCTCCCCCTTTTTTCCAAAATCCGTTTTTTTTTCCATTAATTTCAATTATTTTCGCGTTTTACTGTATGATATGAACATCAATATACTAGAAATAACTTGTATTTGCTATTCACTATCAATTCCAAGTGTACTGTCAACAGCGGTCACTGATATATTATAGAGCCCAGTAATAATATTTAGAAATTTTAAAATCTCAGTGTGTAATTTCGATTCCTCAGTGTTTTATTTTAGGTTTTTAAATCTCAGTGTGGTTTTTTTTTAATTCTCAGTGTGTAATTTTTTCGAAAAAAGGGTTTAAACATAGTTTTGACCAGAACGGCTTGCCATAGTGAACATTTGAAATTTGGAGGACAAATAGTACCTATAATTCTAAAAGCTCTTTTTGATTGTGTTTAAGAAGGAAGACATGTACCTGAAATCTTTCAGTCTGGAATTATTACACCTATACACAAAAGTCATGGTAAACCTTTACAGGACCATAATTCATACAGGCGCATCATTGTTTGTAGTATTATAGGAAAAGTGTCTTAGACAATTCATTTATCTAAAATTTCTCCGGGATTTGATAAACGTCAAAATAAATTGCACCGTGGCTGTACTAAACGGGTATCTATTACAAAAGCAGCTTTTTTATTTTCCAGTCAGGTGTTAAGGATGAGGACTGGTTTTTAGTATTCAAGTGGTATCAGCAGACAAGATCGAGGGTTAAATGGGATGACAATTTTTGAGAGCATTTGATGAGCAACAGGGAATTAGACAAGGTGTTACATTTTCTCCTACAATGTATAAACTTTATATTAATCCATTATTAGATTGATATCAAAACAAGCAGGTAATATTGTATTATTAGCGGAAGATGCAATCTCTTTACAGACAATTTTAAACTTACAAGAAACTTTTGCAAATAAAGACAGATACCTTATTAGTGAAACTAAAAGTTAAATTATGACCTTTAATAATAATAGGAATGAGAAATGTTTTGATGAATTTTATTTACATGACAAACCTGTGGAACATGTTTCGTCATCAGGTCATATACACATGTTGGAATTGAACGAAATTCAGTTGAAAAATGTATAGTGACAGAGAGAATAAAATTAGCGGAATCAACCCAAATATAGTTAGTAAGTTATGGAATACATATGTACGGCATTAAAAAGAAGAAAATATCAGCATGAAAACGTTAAATAATGAAAATGTAATGCGAAGGCATATATTATAGGACTACTGAACCAGTGTGACACTTCAAGATCTATAGAGCAAACAATTTACTTTTGTATATTTTCTTTCGTATTTTTCATAATATATTTTCTTGTTTCAAAATTTTTGTCTTGCATCCATCCTACTGTGTTGCTCTTTTCAGTGAAAACGTAACATTTATATATTTTCCAAAATTTTCCGATTGACTGGAAGCAGTTATAACTGTTCTCTCCTCCTAGAGGTTAGTTATCAGGTTCACTATCAGTAATGTCGTTTCCTATGATTAATTGATTGATTTATTGTTGGTATTTAACGCCACTTTAAGCACTATTGGCTATATAGCAGCAGTAGGTTTTAATCGGTAGTCCTGGAGCCGACCTTTGACAAGAAAACTGACACGGCCAGTCAATTAGGATTGGAGTCAAACGCACATGCCAGATGCGATGTTTGAACTAGTGATACTTAGACCACTCGTCACCATCTCTTCTCGGCCTAGAATCACGTTCAATAAATCATTTAAAGAAATAATAAAAGAGTGAAATCAAAGTTAGAAGATAAACAAACAAACAAACAAAGTTCAGATTAGAATATATAAAAATAACTTAAGATAATAATAGATGCACATACTTACTAGAGTATTTCAGCAACTATAGATAGTGCCCAGATCATGACGCCTAGTACCCACCATTTCTTGGAGTCTGTGTTGATGACCTATTTGTCTGCCAACCATGGGCCTTTTATAGCTGACTATGCGGTATGAGTTTTGTTCATTGTTGAAGGCTGTACGGTGACCTATACTTGTTAACTTCTATTTCATTTGGTCTCTGGTGGAGAGTTGTCTCATTGACAATCATACAATATCTTCTTGTATTTATAAGTTCAGATTATAATATATAAAACAAACAAAGGTAATAATAACTTAAGATAATAGTAGATGCATAAACTTACTTAAGTATTTCAGCAACTAAAGATAGTGCCCAGATCATGACGCCTACTACCCACCATTTCTTGGAGTCGGTGTTGATGACCTGTCTGTCTGCCAACCAGGCAATATGCTCCACAGGATAATATGATTGGTTAATAATGTTTGTTAGCAGGTTCAAGATTCTTAATGGTGTGCTCTTCTCCTAAATCAAAATTACATCCAAAAATTAAAGAGGCCATGAATAAAAATGAAATGAAACAAAAAAGATAAAATAAACAAATAAAACAGAAAATATCCTTGCAAACAAACAATCAAACAATAAAACTTCAAACAGTTTAAACTGGTTGCAACAACGTACCCATATAAAATCGGATATATAACGGATCCATGGTACAGCTAAACCCATTTCGCTTTGCATTAGTATAAAATCGTAAGGATAAGAGCAAGAACACAATTAATAAGTGAAAATAAGTTAAATTATAAAAGAATATTTACAAAAAAAAGTTAAAGTACAAAGTGGTATATATATAAAGAAGTTTGGGGTCCATTCACCTAGCACTTGTGTTCGTACAGCGAGATGACTGCATTGATTAATAAGCTAGTAAACCAAGTCAGAGTCGACTGCATTGGTTCAGTACCGATGTCAACCAAGTCGGAGATGACGGCATTGGTTCAGTACCGATGTCAACCAAGTCGGAGATGACGGCATTGGTTCAGTAACGATGACAATTAAGTCGGAGATAGCGGTATTGGTTCAGTACCGATGTCAACCAAGTCGGAGATGACGGCATTGGTCCAGTTACAAAGTAGATAAAGACAGAAATAACTGCATTGGTTCAGTATAAAACCAACCAAGTCATAAAGGCCTGTATTAATTCAGGAGCCAAGTCAACCAAGTCAAAGATGTTTGGTTTTTTGGTTCAGAAGTGATGTCAACCAACTCAGAGATGACTGTATTGGTTCAGAGGTGAGGTCAACCTATTCAAAGATGATTGCATTGGTTCAAAAGTGATGCCGACCAAGTCAGAGATTACTGCATTGGTTCAGTAGTGGTGTCAACCAAGTCAGAGATGAAGGCATTGATTCAGTAGTGATGTCAACCAAGTAAGAGATGACTGCATTGATTCAGAAGTGATGTCAACCAAGTCAGAGATGACTACAATGGTTCAGAAGTGATGTCAGCCAAGTCAGAGATGAAGGCATTGATTCAGAATGATGTCAATCAATTCAGAAATGACTGCATTGGTTCAGAGGTGAGGTCAACCTATTCAAAGATGATTGCATTGGTTCAAAAGTGATGCCGACCAAGTCAGAGATTACTGCATTGGTTCAGTAGTGGTGTCAACCAAGTCAGAGATGAAGGCATTGATTCAGTAGTGATGTCAAACAAGTCAGAGATGACTGCATTGATTCAGAAGTGATGTCAACCAAGTCAGAGATGACTACAATGGTTCAGAAGTGATGTCAGCCAAGTCAGAGATGAAGGCATTGATTCAGAATGATGTCAACCAATTCAAAGATGACTGCATTGATTCAGAAGTGATGTCAACTAAGTCAGAGATTACTGCATTGGTTCAGTAGTGGTGTCAACCAAGTCAGAGATGAAGGCATTGATTCAGTAGTGATGTCAACCAAGTCAGAGATGACTGCATTGATTCAGAAGTGATGTCAACCAAGTCAGAGATGACTACAATGGTTCAGAAGTGATGTCAGCCAAGTCAGAGATGAAGGCATTGATTCAGAATGATGTCAAGCAATTCAGAAATGACTGCATTGGTTCAGAGGTGAGGTCAACCTATTCAAAGATGATTGCATTGGTTCAAAAGTGATGCCGACCAAGTCAGAGATTACTGCATTGGTTCAGTAGTGGTGTCAACCAAGTCAGAGATGAAGGCATTGATTCAGTAGTGATGTCAAACAAGTCAGAGATGACTGCATTGATTCAGAAGTGATGTCAACCAAGTCAGAGATGACTGCAATGGTTCAGCAGTGATGTCAACCAAGTCAGAGATGAAGGCATTGATTCAGTAATGATGTAAATCAAGTCAGAGAAGACTGCATTGATTCAGAAGTGATGTCAACCAAGTCATCTCTGACTGCATTGATTCAGAAGTGATGTCAACCAAGTCATCTCTGACTGCATTGATTTAGACGTGATGTCAACCAAGTCAGAGATGACTGCAATGGTTCAGAAGTGATGTCAACCAAGTCAGAGATGAATGCATTGATTCAGAAATGATGTCAACAAATTCAGAGATGACTGCATTGATTCAGAGGTGATGTCAACCAAGTCAGAGATTACTGCATTGATTCAGCAGTGATGTCAACCAAGTCAGAGATGACTGCAATGGTTCAGTAGTGATGTCAACTAAGTCAGAGTTGAAGGCATTGATTCAGTAGTGATGTCAACCAAGTCAGAGACAACTGCATTGATTTAGAAGTGATGTCAACCAATTAAGAGATGACTGCATCGGTTCAGAAGTGATGTCAAGCATTTCAGAGATGAAGGTATTGGTTTAGAAGTGATTTCAACCATGTCAGAGATGACTGCAATGGTTCAGAAGTGATGTCAACCAATTCAGAGATGACTGCAAAGGTTCAGAAGTGAGGTCAACGAATTCAGAGATGACTGCAAAGGTTTAGAAGTGATTTCAACCAATTCAGAGATGAAGGCATTGGTTCAGAAGTGAGGTCAACCAATTCAGAGATGAAGGGGTTGGTTCAGTAGTGAAATGCTTTTTTAATGCAACAATAAAGAAAAGCATGGGAAAGCAATCTTCCCTTCGTTGTTGTTTGCTTAACGTCCAGTGGCGAATATTTCATGCATATTCAGAGTGAGAACAAATGTTACAATTTAAACAATTAGTAGGTTTGCAAAAGTGGTCGACCGGGATGAAGGCTGGGAAATTTGAAATGTCAATATAAAATGAGGGTGTGTTGGATAAGGCTGAAAATTTGTCTTGCAACAGGGCACCTTTGGACCCTCAAAGATTATGCAAGGGTTCTTTAATGTGTAGAAAACATGTCACTTTAAGATAACAGATTTAACGTTCCCATTTCGACCGGACTTGGTTGTGTGTTTATGTAAGACATAATTGTGTCCTGTGAAAAAGTGTCCACCTGGACAGTTTTTCGTAGAATCATGGTATTTTATAATGTCCATTGCCATGAAATATTGTCCCGCAAGTGGACAGATTTTTACTGCAAAAGTTATGAAATAGTGTCCACCCACACGACAAGTTTTCATAGCAGTTGCTATTAAATTGTGTCCTCCAAGGGAAGTAATACAAAGGTCACTAAAAAGTTTTATTATACTTGAAATTTTAATAAAATCAGAACGATTGAGTAGAAATTGATTTATATAAACAAACATAATGGATGGCAGTGAATATTGAGACATTTAAGTTCTTAGAAATATCCAGCTAATGCTAATGACAATGAAATAATAACAATAAGAAGGAAGTGTGTAAAGTATTAAATCAAATGTGAAGAACTTTACTATATTTATTATGAGAAGAAGGCAAAAGAAAATATTGAATTTTGGTATTAAATACTTACATCCCACATATCGAAACAGAGAACCCACTTTAGCTTGAGTTTTAGAGCCATGCAGGCGGGAAACGTCCAAGGATAACGCAGTTTTCAATAATAGACAGATGTCTATGCAATATATATCAAGCTCTAAATCGTCTAATTGAACAAAAGTTGTAAATACATTTCATACAAACAATCCATGATTGCCATCAACACCCAATTCTTCAAATAACAAAAAACAGTAAGATATGGGCAGATATATAGAGTAGTTGCTGACGATGTCCCTGAAGTTCGCGTTCGTTCGCTTCATAATTTTTTTCAAGTGGAATATTAAAACATATAAACACAAGCTATAATCATCTTTAAAAATTGGTCAATCAGCTTGAATCAGTTAAACTTTAGTTGTTAGACAATGATTGGTTGGTTTACGTTGTAACATCGTACAAATTAGAAAGTCGAGGGAACGACATCCCCGAATTTGTTCTTACCATAAGCACAACGACGGATGTCACGTGTGGAGTAGAATCTGAAAATCTTTCTAGAGCACCTGAGCTCACCACCGGTTTTTGGTGGGGTTAGTGTTGCTCAGTTGTTAGTGTTCTATGTAGTGTGGTGGGTTTAGTGTTGCTCTGTTGCTCAGTTGTTAGTGTTCTATGTAGTGTGGTGGGGTTAGTGATGCTCAGTTGTTAGTGTTCTGTGTAGTGTGGTGGGGTTCGTGTTGCTCAGTTGTTAGTGTTCTGTGTAGTGTGGTGGGGTTCGTGTTGCTCAGTTGTTAGTGTTCTATGTAGTGTGGTGGGGTTAGTGTTGCTCAGTTGTTAGTGTTCTATGTAGTGTGGTGGGGTTCGTGTTGCTCAGTTGTTAGTGTTCTATGTAGTGTGGTGGGGTTAGTGTTGCTCAGTTGTTAGTGTTCTATGTAGTATGATGGGGTTAGTGTTGCTCAGTTGTTAGTGGTCTGTGTAGTGTGGTGGGGTTCGCGTTGCTCAGTTGTTAGTGGTCTATGTAGTGTGGTGGGGATCGTGTTGTTCAGTTGTTAGTGTTCTATGTAGTGTGGTGGGGTTCGCGTTGCTCAGTTGTTAGTGTTCTATGTAGTGTGGTGGGGTTCGTGTTGCTCAGTTGTTAGTGTTCTATGTAGTGTGGTGGGGTTCGTGTTGCTCAGTTGTTAGTAGTGTTCTATGTAGCGTGGTGGGGTTAGTGTTGCTCAGTTGTAAGTGTTCTGTGTAGTGTGGTGGGGTTCGTGTTGCTCAGTTGTTAGTGTTCTATGTAGTGTGGTGGGGTTCGCGTTGCTCAGTTGTTAGTGTTCTATGTAGTGTGGTGGGGTTCGTTTTGCTCAGTTGTTAGTGTTCTATGTAGTGTGGTGGGGTTCGTGTTGCTCAGTTGTTAGTAGTGTTCTATGTAGCGTGGTGGGGTTAGTGTTGCTCAGTTGTTAGTGTTCTGTGTAGTGTGGTGGGGTTCGTGTTGCTCAGTTGTTAGTGTTCTATGTAGTGTGGTGGGGTTCGCGTTGCTCAGTTGTTAGTGTTCTATGTAGTGTGGTGGGGTTCGCGTCGCTCAGTTGTTAGTGTTCTATGTAGTGTGGTGGGGTTAGTGTTTCTCAGTTGTTACTGTTCTATGTAGTGTGGTGGGGTTAGTGTTGCTCAGTTGTTAGTGTTCTATGTAGTGTGGTGGGGTTCG